TTGGCAATCACAGAGGTCAGACGTTTCTTGTAGTTGGCCACCAGGTTTGCACACATCTCAGGATGGATTTTGTCCCACTCCTCTTTATATCTTCTCCAAGTCATAGGTTTCGAGGCTGACGTTTGGCAACTCGAACCTTCAGCTCCCTCCACAAATTTTCTATGGGATTAAGGTCTGGAGACTGGCTAGGCCACTCCAGGACCTTAATGTGCTTCTTCTTGAGCCACTCCTTTGTTGCCTTGGCCGTGTGTTTTGGGTCATTGTCATGCTGGAATACCCATCCACGACCCATTTTCAATGCCCTGGCTGAGGGAAGGAGGTTCTCACCCAAGATTTGACGGTACATGGCCCCGTCCATCGTCCCTTTGATGCGGTGAACTTGTCCTGTCCCCTTAGCAGAAAAACACCCCCAAAGCATAATGTTTCCACCTCCATGTTTGACAGTGGGGATGGTGTTCTTGGGGTCATAGGCAGCATTCCTCCTCCCCCAAACACGGCGAGTTGAGTTGATGCCAAAGAGCTCGATTTTGGTCTCATCTGACCACAACACTTTCACCCAGTTCTCCTCTGAATCATTCAGATGTTCATTGGCAAACTTCAGACGGGCCTGTATATGTGCTTTCTTGAGCAGGGGGACCTTGCGGGCGCTGCAGGATTTCAGTCCTTCACGGCGTAGTGTGTTACCAATTGTTTTCTTGGTGACTATGGTCCCAGCTGCCTTGAGATCATTGACAAGATCCTCCCGTGTAGTTCTGGGCTGATTCCTCACCGTTCTCATGATCATTGCAACTCCACAAGGTGAGATCTTGCATGGAGCCCCAGGCCGAGGGAGATTGACAGGTCTTTTGTGTTTCTTCCATTTGCGAATAATCGCACCAACTGTTGTCACCTTCTCACCAAGCTGCTTGGCGATGGGCTTGTAGCCCATTCCAGCCTTGTGTAGGTCTACAATCTTGTCCCTGACATCCTTGGAGAGCTCTTTGGTCTTGGGCATGGTGGAGAGTTTGGAATCTGATTGATTGATTGCTTCTATGGACAGGTGTCTTTTATACACGTAACAAGCTGAGATTAGGAGCACTCCCTTTAAGAGTGTGCTCCTAATCTCAGCTCGTTACCTGTATAAAAGACACCTGGGAGCCAAAAATCTTTCTGATTGAGAGGGGGTCAAATACTTATTACCCTCATTAAAATGCAAATCAATTTATAACATTTTTGAAATGTGTTTTTCTGGATTTTGTTGTTGTTATTCTGTCTCTCACTGTTCAAATAAACCTACCATTAAAATGATAGACTGATCATTTCTTTGTCAGTGGCAAACGTACAAAATCAGCAGGGGATCAAATACTTTTTTCACTCACTGTAAAAAAATTTGCGTTTGACAGCCCTGGTTGAAAAACATTGCATGTTGCATGAGGAGCTATGCTGCTCTCTATCAAGCTATGAGTTGTTTTGAGGGAAATAGTGGGATGACATCCCACTGGACACAGACATCAGTTCAACATCTAGTTTTGATTTACATTTGGTTCAGTTGTCAACCAATGTGAATTCAATATGAAATCAACAAAAAAAATCACCATGTCATTGGATATAGGGTCAAAGTTGGTTGAAAGGACGAAATGCCCTTACGCTGATGACTTTTGGCAAATCCAATCAGTTTTCCACATTCATTCAACATAATCACATAGATGTACAGAATACGACAGGTGTAGACATTACAGTGAAATGCTTACTTACGAGCCCATTCCCAACAATGCAGAGTTAAAAAAGTAAGACAAACGTTTTCTAAATAAAAAGGAAATAGTTACACAATAAAAACAATCATGAGGCCATATACAAGACTATATACAAGTTAACTTACAATATATCAATGGAAATCTAATGACACACAAACACTATAATGACAGACACTCAATCCTCTATCCCAATTCCTCCGATTCACATGGAGCCACAGTGACAAAGTCTGTTGATGACGGAACAAGTTACAGCTCAACACTGACCCTTTAACCTATTAATCACCATCGAGCATGTGGCAGACACACACACACACACTCTCTCTCTCTCTCTCTCTCTCTCTCGCTCTCTCTCTCTCTCTCTCTCTCTCTCTCTCTGTCTCTCTCTCTCTCTCTCTCTCTCTCTCTCTCTCTCTCTCACTCACACACACACCCACACACACGACGGGCAATAGTTTTAATGGAGTGATATAGAAACATTGTGTTCCAATGGAAATTACAACATACTCTATGACACTGGGGTTTATGGCCCTGGACCTGATGCCCTCTCTCTATGTCTTATCAGTGATCTCAATAAAGCCAGCAAACGCTGTCCCACCCCCACACAGGCTCCAACGCAACAGCCAACACACAAGAGAAGCAATCAGAATTGATATTAGGTTGATTGCATTCAACTTACTCTCTTCTCTTTGACAGTGTTCCCAAAGTTCTACCAGATTTATATAACTGGTACATAAACAATTAAGAAAGAGAAACATACAGTTGAAGTCGGAAGTTTACATACACCTTAGCAAAATACATTTAAGCTCAGTTTTTCACAATTCCTGAGTAAAAATGACCTGTCTTAGGTCAGTTAGGATCACCACTTTATTTTAAGAATGTGAAACGTCAGAATAATAGTAGAGAGAATGATTTATTTAAGCTTTTATTTCTTTCATCACATTCCCAGTGGGTCAGAAGTTTACATACACTCAATTAGTATTTGGTAGCATTGCCTTTATATTGTTTAACTTGGGTCAAATGTTTCGGGTAGCCTTCCACAAGCTTCCCACAATAAGTTGGATTAATTTTGGCCCATTACTCCTGACAGAGCTGGTGTAACTGAGTCAGGTTTGTAGGCCTCCTTGCTCGCACACACTTTTTCAGTTCTGCCAACACATTTTCTATAGGATTAAGTCAGGGCTTTGTGATGGCCACTCCAATACCTTGACTTTTTTGTCCTTAAGCCATTTTGCAAAACTTTGGAAGTATGCTTGGGGTCATTGTCCATTTGGAAGACCCATTTGCAACCAAGCTTTAACTTCCTAACTGATATCTTGAGATGTTGCATCAATATATCCACATAATTTTCCTTCCTCATGATGCCATATATTTAGTGAAGTGCACCAGTCCCTCCTGCAGCAAAGCACCCCCACAGCATGATGCTGCCACCCCGTGCTTCACGGTTGGGATGGTGTTCTTCGGCTTGCAAGCAACCCCCTTTTTCCTCCAAACATAACGATGGTCATTATGGCCAAACAGTGCTATATTTGTTTCATCAGACCAGAGGGCATTTCTCCAAAAAGTACGATCTTTGTCCCCATGTGCAGTTGCAAACCGTAGTCTGGCTTTTTTATGGCGGTTTTGGAGCAGTGGCTTCTTCCTTGCTGAGCGGCCTTTCAGGTTATGTCGATATAGGACTCGTTTTACTGTGGATATAGATACTTTGTACCTGTTTCCTCCAGCATCTTCACAAGGTCCTTTGCTGTTGTTCTGGGATTGATTTGCACTTTTCGCACCAAAGTACGTTCATCTCTAGGAGACAGAATGCGTCTCCTTCCTGAGCGGTATGATGGCTGCGTGGTCCCATGGTGTTTATACTTGCGTACTATTGTTTGTACAGATGAACGTGGGACCTTCAGGCATTTGGAAATTGCTCCCAAGGATGAATCAGACTTGTGGAGGTCTACAATAGTTTTTCTGAGGTCTTGGCTGATTTCTTTTGATTTTCCCATTATGTCAAGCAAAGAGGCACTGAGCTTGAAGGTAGGCCTTGAAATACATCCACAGGTACACCTCCAATTGACTCAAATTATGTCAATTAGCCAATCAGAAGCTTCTAAAGCCATGACATCATTTTCTGGAATTCCAAGCTGTTTAAAGGCACAGTCAACTTAGTGTATGTAAACTTCTGACCCACTGGAATTGTGATACAGTGAATTATAAGTGAAATAATCTTTCTGTAAACAATTGTTGGAAAGATGACTTGTGTCATGCACAAAGTAGATAGTTTGTTAACAAGAAATTTGTGGAGGGGTTGAAAAACAAGTTTTAATGACTCCAACCTAAGTGTATGTAAACTTCCGACTTCAACTGTATACAGTCTGACATACTGTAGGTCTCCACAAATCAAACCATGGAGCCAACTAATAGTAATAATCCAGTATTTTAAACCTTTAAGTATCTCTTTAGAATCTTGTTATATACAAGCATGTTTCTTTTTGCTTTATTTCATTGCTGAATCGGGGACAAATCTCATGTGTCCCTCATTTGGTAACCCTAATCCTTCCAATAATGTATAATCCATTCTATTTTTAGAGAACAATGCAGTGAATAAATGAACAAAATATATTGAGGCTAGCAGATGTTCCTCCTTGAATGGTGAATGGTCTTTGGTAGCATCAAGATGCTAATGCATCCTCAGGGTGCTCCTGTCACCTCTCTCTCACCTGCTGTCTGGCCCATCTCCCTGGTTACGGCCCTTTCATGTCTCATGGTAATGACACAGGAGATAGCAGCTCAGATAGTCCAGCAAGGCCAGGCAAGAATGGCCATTGTCCTGGAGGCCAAATGTCCCAGGCAATCATGGAGCACATGGTGATTGTATTGTGTGTGAAAGTTTACCATCACACAAGGTGATTGAGTTGATTGTGGCATTGGGAGCACAGCCAGAGTGGAGATTGTAATTATTCACCTGAAAATTAAATCATATCACAATTAGAATAGCTAGCCATTTAGAAAGACACAAAATAGAATAGAGAATATTTTATTATCCAAGATAATGCACACACAGACAATTGTGTGTGCATGCGAGTGTGTGTGTGCGCATACACTAGTGTGGGAGTGGGAGTCCTCAGCGTTTCACTTTGCTGACTCCCCCTGCATGCACTCTGCAGGTGACCATTGTACCCAGCTCCTCCCTGTGAGACGGTGTGGGGGTGAGGTCCACCTCCACGGAGGCACACAACCTCTCACACCTCTCCCCCCTCCTGCTGCTCCAGCCCTATAAAAAAACAGAGCTGGCCCTCATGTTCCCCAGTCTCATAACGACCAATCAGCCACCAGGTAAGAGAATGAGTGGGAGAGCTAATGGCTGGGGCTAGTGGCCAAGGACTTGATCTGCATAGGCAGACGACTTAGGAACTAGTAGAGAGAAAGGCAGACTATATATTTTTTCTGGAAACTTTTTTTGCCTCTTATTTTGTATGCTTATTACTACTTTGATATGAACTGTTACGAATACATTGGGCAGCAGTTATCACTTTAGCAATACTTATTTCAGACAGTTTACTATAATTTACAAGAGAGATGGGAGGGAACAATGGATAAATAATTTTATAAAATGTCCTAGAAAAAAGGATGTAGCTAATTTTCTTCCCAATAGCTTTCAGTGCATCTTTATTACTCTGAACAACTGCTTAAGTGTAACCTCCGTCCAGGGCCACAGTGATCCAGCAATGTGTCTGTCTTAGTGCAGGGATTGGGGATTAGGTGGTAGGAGTTGAGGGTTCATCTCTTTGTAGCTATAAATCTATCCAGCTCTGTGTAATCTAACCAGATTAGAGGTCCTTTTAATAGGCTGACATATGGCAAAGGGTAAACTGATTGAGGGCAGCCTGGAGTTGCGTGTCTTTAGGGGTTTGCTCCTTGTCACTGGAGAATTACTTAGAGTCGGACTTGAATTATTGTCCTGTTTACTTTTGGTGACATTTAAAGTTTGATTTAGAGTGTTTTGCTATTAGTGATTTGTTGCACTGTTCAAATATTGTTTGCGCTAAATCTATTTTGAACCATTCAGTGTTGACTTCCCATGGTTTACAGTTTCAATTGTGAATATCTGAATTCTTGTCTTGCTCATTGCTCACCATCCGTTCTCTTTTGTCCCCTCAGACCACCATCATGAAATTCCTGGCTCTCGCACTCACCATCCTGCTGGCCGCAGGTTAATATCCCAGCCTTGTCATAGTGCCGCCAAATTGATAATGTAGTAATGACATTTTAATGCATTGTGTGTGTACCATGCTCTGGTATGTTGAACAATTCAAAATGAAATCTTACTCAATTTGATTAAAGTGCTGGGCCATTCACCACTGTTACCCAACCAATGCCTGACCCTCTCCCCTCTCTCTCCTCTCCCAGGTACCCAGGCTGTTCCCATGCAGGCCGATGCTCCCTCTCAGATGGAGCATGTGAAGGCAGCCATAATGGTGTACATGACTCAGGTGAAGGAGACCGCACAGAGGTCCATCGACCTTCTGGATGACACAGAGTACAAAGAGTACAAGTAAGAACATGTTGCATTTCATCTTCTCTATCTTCAATGGTGCCCAACCTCCACAGATAACTAAAACTATCTCTCTCTCTCTCTCTCTCTCTCTCTCTCTCTCTCTCTCTCTCTCTCTCTCTCTCTCTCTCTCTCTCTCTCTCTCTCTCTCTCTCTCTCTCTTCCTCCTCTTCTTGGTGTTCCTCTCAGGGTGGAGCTGTCCAAGAGCCTTGACAACCTCCAGCAGTATTCCCAGACCGCCTCCCAGGCCCTTGCCCCCTACAGCGAGGCCTTCGGTGCGCAGTTGACTGATGCCACCGCCGCTGTGCGCGCTGAGATCATGAAGGATGTGGAGGAGCTGCGCACCCAGTTGGAGCCCAAGCGCGCCGAGCTCAAGGCAGTCCTGAACAAGCACATGGAGGAGTACCGTGAGAAGCTGGAGCCCCTGATCAAGGAGATCGTCGACCAGCGCCGCACCGAGATGGAGGCCTTCAGGATCAAGTTGGAGCCTGTTGTGGAGGAGATGCGCGCCAAGGTGTCCGCCAACGTGGAGGAGACCAAGGCCAAGCTCATGCCCATCGTGGAGACCATCCGTGCCAAGATGACCGAGCGTCTGGAGGAGCTGAGGACCCTGGCTGCCCCCTACGCTGAGGAGTACAAGGAGCAGATGATCAAAGCTGTTGGAGAGGTGCGCGAGAAGATAGTGCCCCTGACTGTGGACTTCAAGGGCCAGATGGGCCCCGCCGCCGAGCAGCTCAAGGAAAAGCTCATGGCTTTCTACGAGACCATCAGCCAGACAATGAAGGCATAAACACGCCCTCAACCAGACCCTCCCTCTCTCCCTTCCTTCCCTTCTCACTCACGCTGACTCACACACCATATGTACCACGCCAATGCCAAACTGATGCACTTCCTCTCCAGCGACATGGCAGGACTCTTGCTCTCTGTAACGCACCACAACATGCGCTCAAGCACACACAAGCGCAGACACTAACACACTATTGCATACATTCCGTTTTGAATTGTGTTCAGGGCCTGTATGCACAATCCTGGGCCTGCACAATCTTGACTGTACTATGAACATCAAGTGTGAATATTATTGTGTTGCTGCTTGTTCAAGATAGCTGTGTGCTTCAAAACAGCTCAATAAACACCATACTGTTTCATACTATTTCATTCTCTGAGTTTGACTTCTTTGGATGTGTTCTATGACAGGATTTTGAACCACAAAATAATTTCATTATTCTTTAAAGTCTCCTATCTCAACATGATCAAAATGAAGTGATACAACTATTATCACTTCATAAGCAATACACACGTATGACAATGAAACAAACAAATGTCTCTTACCGGATATCATGTAATTGTAACAGTGTTTATTCGCATTGGTTTAAAAGAATGGCTCATCTAAAAATGATAACTGATCAAAATTAAAACAAATTGACTTTTATAATAATTTTCTCTGAAAACCAGTGACCATTCATGGAGATCATGGGAGTTAATATGAGTCTTAGTGTTGGTTGCCATAGAGGGTTGATGAATGGGTTAATAAGGAGGAGGTGTCAGTGTATTGGCAGGCTGTGACCCGGTAGAGTTTCATTAGAGACGGTGTTAGATGGATGGGGCGCTACTCTGCACCTCTTAAGCTGAGCCCATCAACACTTTCCCATCACAGAGTATGTGCGCACACATACAGTCGTGGTCAAAAGTTTTGAGAATGACACAAGTATTGGTTTCCACAAAGTTTGTTCTTAGAGCTTAATGTCAGATGTTACTATGGTACACTGAATTATAATTACAAGTATTCCATAAGTGTCAAAGGCTTTCATTGACAATGACATTCAGTTTATGCAAAGAGTCAATATTTGCAGTGTTGACCCTTCTTTTTCAAGACCTTTGCAATCCGCCCTGGCATGCTGTCAATTAACTTCTGGGCCACATCCTGACTGATGGCAGCCCATTCTTGCATAATCAATGCTTGGAGTTTGTCAGAAGTTGTGGGTTTTTGTTTGTCCACCCGCCTCTTGAGGATTGACCACAAGTTCTCAATGGGATTAAGGTCTGGGGAGTTTCCTGGCCATGGACCCAAAATGTCGATGTTTTGTTCCCTGAGCTACTTAGTTATCACTTTTGCCTTATGGCAAGGTGCTCCATCATGCTGGAAAAGGCATTGGTCGTCACCAAACTGTTCTTGGATGGTTGGGAGAAGTTACTCTCGGAGGATGTGTTGGTACCATTCTTTATTCATGGATGTGTTCTTAGGCAAAATTGTTAGTGAGCCCACTCCCTTGGCTGAGAAGCAACCCCACACATGAATGGTCTCAGGATACTTGGCATGACACAGGACTGATGGTAGCGCTCACTCGAAAAGGGGATTCATCAGAGAAAATGACTCTACCCCAGTCCTCAGCAGCCCAATCCCTGTACCTTTTGCAGAATATCAGTCTGTCCCTGATGTTTTTCCTGGAGAGGTGGCTTCTTTGCTGCCCTTCTTGACACCAGACCATCCTCCAAAAGTCTTCGCCTCACTGTGCGTGCAGATGCACTCACAACTGCCTGCTGCCATTCCTGAGCAAGCTCTGCACTGCTGGTGCCCCGATCCCGCAGCTGAATCAACTTTAGGAGACGGTCCTGGCGCTTGCTGGACTTTCTTGGGCGCCCTGAAGCCTTCTTCACAACAATTGAACCTCTCTCCTTGAAGTTCTTGATGATCCGATAAATGGTTGATTTAGGTACAATCTTACTAGCACCAATATCCTTGCCTGTGAAGACCTTTTTGTGCAAAGCAATGATGACGGCATGTGTTTCCTTGCAGGTAACCATGGTTAACAGAGGAAGAACAATGATTTCAAGCACCACCCTCCTTTTAAAGCTTCCGGTCTGTTATTCTGACTGAATCAGCATGACAGAGTGATCTCCAGCCATGTCCTCGTCAACACTCTCACCTGTGTTAACGAGAGAATCACTGACATGATGGCAGCTAGCCTTTTTGTGGCAGGGCTGAAATGCATTGGAAATGCTTTTTGGGGATTAAGTTCATTTCCATGGCAAATAGGGACTTTGCAATTAATTGCAATTCATCTGATCACTCTTCATGACATTCTGGAGTATATGCAAATTGCCATCATCAACACTGAGGCAGCAAACTTTGTGGAGACCAATACTTGTGTCATTCTCAAAACTTTTGACCACGACTGTACACACACACACACACACACACACACACACACACACACACACACACACACACACACACACACACACACACACACACACACACACACTGGAGCATTAGGAGTTTATGAGTATACTTCTTGTGTTATAAGGTTGTTAATCAATCATGCCATCTAGACATAAATTGGTTCTCTATAGAGTAGAATTCTTCCACCAATACCAACTTCTGTCCCCTCACATATAATCATACTAGATATTAAGCAAGAGGGTTGTGATGGATGAGGCCTTCAAAGGCTCAGTTGGTAGAGCATGATACTTGCAACGTCAGGATTGTGGGTACTGTTATCTGCACTAACAGTATTATGAAATCATATCTGCTGCTATGTACTGCTAAGTTGTAATAGTTTTGATAATAAACCTATACTAACTGTATTATAAACGTGTATGTGCTTTTTGGTTTTGGTTTGTTTGTAATATGTTTTGCTACGTGATCCTCTTATTGTTTTTTGGTTTGTCTTTAATTATTTAGTTTTTTTTTAAGGATTGTGAGTTCGATTCCCAGGGCCACCCATACGAAAAATATATACACGCATGGCTGTAAGTTGCTTTGGATAAAATGTCCGTACTGTGAGACACCTAAGACAGCGCTACAGGGAGACAGGACAGACAGCTGATTGTCCTCGTAGTGGCAGACCACGTGTAACAACACCTGCACAGGATCGGTACATCCGAACACCACACCTGCGGGACAGGTACAGGATGGCAACAACAACTGCCCGAGTTACACCAGGAACGCACAATCCCTCCATGAGTGCTCAGACTGTCCACAATAGGCTGAGAGAGGCTGGACTGAGGGCTTGTAGGCCTGTTGTAAGGCAGGTCCTCACCAGACATCACCGGCAACAACGTTGCCTATGGGCACAAACCCACCATCGCTGGACCAGACAGGACTGGCAAAAAGTGATCTTCACTGACGAGTCGCGGTTTTGTCTCCTCAGGGGTGATGGTCGGATTCGCTTTTATCGTCGAAGGAATGAGCGTTACACCGAGGCCTGTACTCTGGAGCGGGATCGACTTAGAGGTGGTGGGTCCGTCATGGTCTGGGGCGGTGTGTCACAGCATCATCGGACTGAGCTTGTTGTCATTGCAGGCAATCTCAACACTGTGCGTTACAGGGAAGACATCCTCCTTCCTCATGTGGTACCCTTCCTGCAGGCTCATCCTGACATGACCCTCCAGCATGACAATGCCGCCAGCCATACTGCTCGTTCTGTGCGTGATTTCCTGCAAGACAGGAATGTCAGTGTTCTGCCATGGCCAGCGAAGAGCCCGGATCTCAATCCCATTGAACACGTCTGGGACATGTTGGATCGGAGGGTGAGGGCTAGGGTCATTCCCCCCAGAAATGTCCTGGAACTTGCAGTTGCCTTGGTGGAAGAGTGGGATAATATTTCACAGCAAGAACTGGCAGATCTGGTGCAGTCCATGAGTAGGATATGCACTGCAGTACTTAATGCAGCTGGTGGACATGGCAGATACTGTTACTTTTGATTCCCCCCCCCCCCCCCCCCCCGCCCACTTATGTGGATGATGTTAAAAATATTTGTTGGTCTGATGTGATTAATAAGGAGCATCCAGACGCTGCACTTGATGCATTTATGAAATGTCTTCTTCCAATTATTGATAAACATGCACCTTTTAAGAAACTGACTGTTAGAACTGTTAAGGCTCCATGGCTTGATGAGGAATTGAAAAACTGTATGGTTGAAAGAGATGGGCAAAAGGAGTGGCTAATAAGTCTGGCTGCACATCTGACTGGCTGACTTACTGCAAATTGAGAAATGATGTGACTAAACTCAACAAAAAGAAGAAGAAACTGTATTATGAAGCCAAGATCAATGATATAAAGATGATGGGATTTTTCTGTTGTTGAGTACTTTAAATGAAATTATGGGCAAAAAGACAAATCAACCATCTTACATCGAAACAGATGGCTTATTCATCACAAAACCATTTGATGTTGCCAATTATTTTAATGATTACCACAAAGTGGACAAACTTAGGCAGGAAATGCCAACAACGAACAGTGAGCCATCGTATTCATGCATAAGAAAACTAATAATAAAGAAAAGCATTATAAGTTCGTATTTTGTTAAGTTAGTGTGGGAGAGGTAGAAAAATAATTGTTATCGATCAATAATGACAAACCTCCTATCTGTCATATCTTTAATCTGAGCCTAGAGGAAAGTCTTTGTCCTCAGGCCTGGAGGGAACCCAATGTCATTCCGCTACCCAAGAATGGTAAAGCGGCCTTTACTGGTTCTAACAGCAGACCTATAAGCTTGCTGCCAGCTCTTAGAAAACTGTAGGAAAAAACGGTGTTTGACCAAATACAATGCTATTTCTCTGTAAATAAATTAACAACAGACTTTCAGCATGCTTATAGAGAAGGGCACTCAACATGTACTTCACTGACACAAATGACTGGTGACTGGTTGAAAGAAATTGATAATAAGAAGATTGTGGGAGCTGTACTGTTAGATTTCAGTGCAGCCTTTGATATTATTGACCATAACCTATTGTTGAAAAACGTATGTGTTATGGCTTTTCAACATCTGCCATATCGTGGATTCAGAGCTATCTATCTAATAGAACACAGAGGGGCTTTCTTTAATGGAAGCTTCTCTAATGTTAAACATGTAAAGTGTTTAAAATGTTTACCAATGACCTGCCACTGGCATTAAACAAAGCCTGTGTGTCCATGTATGCAGATGATTCAACCCTATACGTGTCAGCAACCACAGCTAGTGAAAACACTGCAACCCTAAACAAAGAGTTGCAGTCAGTTTTAGAATGGGTGGCCAGTAATAAACTGGTCCTGAACATCTCTAAAACTAAGAGCATTGTATTTGGTACAAATCATTCCCTAAGTTCTAGACCTCAGCTGAATCTGAATGGTGTGGCAGTTGAGCAAGTTGCGGAGACTAAATTACTTAAACTGTCATGGTCAAAACATTGATTCAATGGTTGTAAAGACAGGGAGAGGTCTGTCCATGATAAATAGATGCTCTGCTTTTTTCACAAAGCAAATCCTGCAGGCTCTAGTTTTATCTTATCTTGATTATTGTCCAGTCATATGGTCAAATGTCGCAAAGAAAGACTTAGTTAAGCTGCAGCTGGTCCAGAACAGAGCGGCACGTCTTGCTCTTCATTGTAATCAGAGGGCTTATATTAATATTATGCATGCCAGTCTCTCTTGGCTAAGAGTTGAGGAAAGACTGATTGCATTGCTTCTAGTTTTTATAAGAAACAATGTATTGGAAATTCCAAACTGTTTTCATAGTCAACATATATTCAGCACTGACACACAAACTTACCCCACCAGACGTGCCACCAGGGGTCTCTTCACAGTCCCCAGGTCCAGAACAAATTCAAGGAAACGTACAGTATTATACAGAGCCATGATTGCATGGAACTCCCTTCCATCCAACATAGCGTAAGTGAACAGCAAACCTGGTTTCAAAAAACAAATAAAGCAACACCTCACGGCACAACGCATCTCCCCATGTGACCTACTTTTTGTGTGTATGTACTGACAGATACACACACGCACACTACATGTTAATGTTTTTAAATGTATGTAAATTATAAAGTATTTTGTAATGTATTTTTCGTTATGTGTCGGACCCCAGTAAGACTAGCTGTCGCCATTGGCGTCAGCTAAAAGCGATCCTATTAAAATCAAAAATCTCAATCTCTCTCTCAGATCACCCAGTTGAAGATAGCCAGTAACCCGTTTGCCAGGGGCTTCCGAACTACTGATCCTGACGCCTGGTAAAACAAATAAACATGTTTTTTGTTTGTTAGTGTCTAGAATTTCAGAATTATTTTGGTGATACATTGAACATAAAAGTCAAAGTACAGCAACCACATTCAGACATTGAGGACTGATTGTCAGATTCAGGTGGCTTCCCTCCTACAATTAATATAAAATCTAGATTATTCCATGGAAACGCTCAATTAAATAATAACTGCACCATTGTACATCCTTATCGCTCTCTCTCTTATCACCTGATATTCAGGTTAAGGAGCAATCGCAATATGATACATGAACTTTGACCCTGGCCTCTATATATGACAACACAACAGACACTCAATTAGGCTTGATAAAGTAAGACATCTGTTATTAAGGCCAAGCATAACATGATATGGTAAAAGGTGACTGTTGTTGGTAACCTGTTTTTAACCTGTTGTAATTCTGCCTGACTGTTCTTTGACTCTAATGTGACTGTGTGTCGTTGTGTGTCTCATGAGTGGCGCAGTGGTCTAAGGCACTGCATCGCAGTGCTAGCTGTGCAACTAGAGATCCTGGTTCGAATCCAGGCTCTGTCGTAGCCGGATTAGACCGGGAGACCCATGGGACCCATGGGGCGGCGCGCAATTGGCCCAGCGTCGTCCAGGGTAGGGGAGGGAATGGCCGGCAGGGATGTAGCTCAGTTGATAGAGCATGGTGTTTGCAACGCCAGGGTTGTGGGTTCGATTCCCACAGGGGGTATGAAAAAAATAAATAATGTAAGTCGCTCTGGATAAGAGTGTCTGCTAAATGACGTTAATGTAAATGTGTGTGGGGTGGGCAGCGCCAGGCCCCTGCCTCACGCTCTGCCCACCTGGCAGCCACAGGAGGGCAACTATGAGCCTGACAGTAGAGCAGCGAGCACAGAACTTAAAGAGTCTATCAAGTGAGCGACTGAGACTCAGGAATCTCCCTGTCCTCCTCCCTCAAAACATCAGTGCCACAATGAAATACTGAGCATGTTTTAGGCAATATACAGCCCTTAATACATCACTTTCGCTCCATAATATGCACTAATCTTGGTCAGAAGAAATTATATTTTACCCTCTTGGTTTTTCCTTCCCTTTCTCGACTTCTTTCTTCCTCTGTAGGACAAGAGGATTCAAACATTGTCTCTCTGTCAACAGCGCATTGTGAACTAGGCCACCATTGCAGGAAAGACATCAGCTGTACCAGTGAGAGAAAGGATGTGGAGAATAATATTTCTCCACAGTTGACTTTCGTCCCCCTTCCCACCCTCTGGGAATGTCCAGGCACTTCAGAGAGACTGAACCTGGGATGAGAGGAGGGAATTTCTTCCATAGTTCCATTACTACAGATCTTCCTACAGTAGCCCACATTCTCCTTCAATATGTGTCTGTCTCTCTTCATTATTTCTCAAAGGAACGAAGTGAAAATGTTCTGTCATGAGATCAATCATGGATTGTGTCATCTTGGGCTGGTGATTTTAGATATGACTTTTTACAGAAAGCACACAGCTTTAGGGAAATTAATTGTTTAAAGTGAAAAATATTGTTATTCAAATTATGTAAATAAAGACCTATTTAAAATAATTTGCTATTTTACTTTATCATTTATTATAGGCTATTTTTATTAAAGGCTATTTTTTATTTTATACCGGTGATTAAATAGAAAAACTACTATACCCATAATGCTCTGTGCACTCCTATTTCCCGACTGAGGTTGTGCTTGCAGGGAGATGCTCAGCTCAGTTACAAGATGATGCAGGATTGATGGAGGAGGCGGGGAATGCGGGAAGGTAGCGGAGAGAATGCACAGAGGAGAGATGCGGATTATGGTGGCCTATATGACAAGGATTTTTGGTCGTGTGACAGAACGATGATCGGACGGGTAACGGGCCTCTGGATTGTTGATATTGGGACCTAAGCCTTTTTGGACAACCTCTAATTCATGCGTTTAACGATTTATTTTATTATCGGCCTATATGCGCAGTTGTTGATTTCATTATACTGAATTTGATTGTTTTGTCGACAGCTATAGGCACATGGATATTTCTGTCGTTTATCTAATATTTTGTAAATTGATCATTTTTTTCTCCATTAAATTGAGGACAAGGTGTATGGTCGCGGCAGCAAAGCGCTCGATACCACACCATCTATAAACACGGACAGATCTTCAAATCAAAGGGACTATCTTTTAATAAAGATGTCAACACTATTACATTATGGCTGCAACTGTCAATTTTTGTAGCATCAGCGTTTAATCTTGGTGCTATAAACAACAATTATGCAGCATTTCTAATGATGCCAAACTGAAAGGAGACGGTCGAGTGCGCAAATTAAGTGTCCTAAAATATATAGCCTAAAATAACATTTCAAAATGGAGGCACTCTGTCCTCAATGGATGGTATTTTTATGGACGATTGTCAACCTATTTGTGGGTGTCAGCTTCGGCACCAACGAGGCTGAAGTTGAACCAAACTCCTCAGGCCCACTGGCTATTCACTTCCCACTGCGGCAGGGCCCTCTCTCCGAAACCCAACCACCGCATTTGGCCCGGCTGCGCTCCTCGAGGGCAGCGCGGAGGCGCAGAGCGGTCGGTGGCATCAATTTCGTGGACATGATCGACAACCTCCGTGGGAAATCTGGACAGGGATACTACGTGGAGATGACAGTGGGTTCACCGCCACAGAAGGTGACACACACTCCCCCATCTCTCAATTCAATTCAAAGGGCTGTATTGGTATGGGAAACATAAGTTTACATTGCCAAAGCAAGTGAAATAGATAATAAACAAAAGTGAAATAAACAATCAAAAATTAACAGGTAACATTACACTCACAAAAGTTCCAAAGGAATAGAGACATTTCAAATGTCATATTATGGCTATATACAGTGATTTATTTATGTAACGATGTGCAAATAGTTAAAGTACAAAAGGGAATATAAATAAACATGGTGTTTGTTCTTCACTGGTTGCCCTTTTCTTGTGGCAACAGGTCACAAATCTTGCTGCTGTGATGGCACACTGTGGTATTTCACCCAATAGATATGGGAGTTTATCAAAATTGGATTTGTTTTCTTTGTGGGTCTGTGTAATCTGAGGGAAATATGTGTCTCTAATATGGTCATACATTTGGCAGGAGGTTAGGAAGTGCAGCTCAGTTTCCCCCTCATTTTGTGGGCAGTGTGAACATAGCCTGTCTTCTCTTGAGAGCCAGGTCTGCCTACGGCTGCCTCTCTCAATAGCAAGGCTATGCTCACTGAGTCTGTACATTGTCAAAGCTTTCCTTAATTTTGGGTCATTCACAGTGGTCAGGTATTCTGCCACTGTGTACTCTCTGTTTAGGGCCAAATAGCATTCTAGTTTGCTCAGTTTTTTTGTTAATTCTTTCCAAGGTGTCAAGTAATTATCTTTTTGTTATCTCATGATTTGGTTGGGTCTAATTGTGTTGCTGTCCTGGGGCTCTGTGGGGTCTGTTTGTGTTTTTGAACAGAGCCCCAGGACCAGTTTGCTTAGGGGACTCTTCTCCAGGTTAATCTCTCTGTAGGTGATGACTTTGTTATGGAAGGTTTGGGAATCGCTTCCTTTTAGGTGGTTGTAGAATTGAACTGCTCTTTTCTGGATTTTGATCAATAGGCGGGTATCGGCCTAATTCTGCTCTGCATGCATTATTTGGTGTTTTACGTTGTACGTGGAGGATATTTTTGCAGAATTCTGCATGCAGAGTCTCAATTTGGTGTTTGTCACATTTTGTTAATTCTTGGTTGGTGAGCGGACCCTAGACCTCACAACCATAAAGGGCAATGGGTTTTATAATGATTCAAGTATTTTTAGCCAGATCCTAATTGATATGTCAAATTCTATGTTCCTTTTGATGGCGTAGAAGGCCCTTCTTGCCTTGTCTCTCAGATCGTTCACAGCTTTGTGGAAGTTACCTGTGGCGCTGATGTTTAGGCTGAGGTATGTATAGTTATTTGTGTGCTCTAGGGCAATGGTGTCTAGATGGAATTTGTATTAGTGGTCCTGGCAACTGGACCTTTTTTGGAACACCATTATTTGAGTCTTACTTTGTCTCTCTCTCTCTCTCTCTCTATCATTGACACGCCCATTCAGTTGATTCTGTGTGACGTTTTGCTCACCTGTGCCCTATATCCTCTGCATTGTGGCACGTCAAACCTACCCTCCTATCAAACCTTTGATTAGTGGAATCAGGTGTTTAGTGGTAGGGCAAAAACTAAAATGTGCCTCCCTTTGGGTCCCAGGACCAGAATGAAGAAACACTGGCCTTGTTAAACCTTGGTAACCTGGCCTCTAAAATGGCAGATGGTGACGACAAAGAACAACAAGAATAAATGTGTGTGTCTCTGTGCATGTGAGAGAAGGGAGAAAGAAGGAGAGAATGAAGCCTTTAATTCTGCAGAGAGGGGTGGCGTGGGGTGGGGTGGGGTGGGGGGGGGGGGGGGGGGATGATTCCCAGTATGGTGCAGCTAAGCAGCTGCAGGGTACAGACTGGCACACCAAAGGGATTACTGTGTGACAGAGCCAACGTTATGCCCTGCCTAGGACACTCCCATTGTGCCACTAGGAGGAAAACCATCACTGGCTTCCATCCACTCACTAACATTTATACTGAACAAAAATTTAAACGCAACATGCAACAATTTCAACGATTTTACTGAGTTACAGTTCATATAAGGAAATCAGTCCATTTAAATAAATTCACTAGGCCCTAATCTATGTATTTCACATGATTGGGCAGGGGCACAGCCACTTGGGAGCCAGGCCCAGCCAATCAGAATGAGTTTTTCCCCACAAAAGGGCTTTATTACAGACAGAAATACTCCTCAGTTTCATCCGCTGTCCGGGTGGCTGGTCTCAGACGATCCTGCAGGTGAAGAAGCCGGATGTGGAGGTCCTGGGCTGGTGTGGTTACATGTGGTCTGCGGTTGTGAGGCCGGTTGGACATACTGCTAAATTCTCTAAAACACTTATGGTAGAGAAATTAACATTGAATTCTCTGGCAACAGCTCTGGTGGAAATTCCTGCAGTCAGCATGCCAGTTGCACGCTCCTTCAAAACATGAGACATCTGTGGCATTGTGTTGTGTCACAAAACTGCACATTTGGCCTTTTATTGTCCTCAGCACAAGGTGCACCTGTGTAATGATCATGCTGTTTAATCAGCTCCTTGATATTTCACACTTGTCAGGTGGATGGGTTATCTTGGCAAAGCAGAAATGCTCACTAACAGGGAGGTAAACAAATTTGTGCACACAATTTGAGAGAAATACGCTTTTTGTACGTATGGAAAATGTATTTTATTTCAGCTCATGAAACATGGGACCAACACTTTACATGTTGCGTTTATATTTTTGTTCAGTATAGAAACATTGATACAAATACAACCATAGAGATTGATCCAGGATTAATAACTATGTATACAACACACTAAAAGATACATAACAAAATATTTCCCTCATGTAATAGAAGGGAATTATATTACCATATTACTTTGTTACAGTAAAACAAACCAAACAAATTGCCACATAGGCCTACTGTATAGACTACTATAAGACTCAAATGTGTGACTGTTACAGTAACTTCAAGATGTAAACCAGGGGCTGGATGTATCAATGGTCACAGAGTAGAAGTGCTGATCTAGGATCAGGTCCCCCCGTCCATATAATTGTATTAATGAATTGTGATCTAAAAGGCTAAACTGATCCTAAATCAGCACTCCTACTATGAGACGCTTCATACATACGGCTCCTGATATAATATCTTCTAAAATAATAAATGAGGTTTGCGACAGGGATTCTAGGCTTCTGCCAGAAAGAGGAAGTGTAGCAGGGTTGTAGCAAGTCCGAGGTGTGTGTGTGTGTCAGGATGCAGCCGGGCCAGGCGTCTCGGGTGATGTGTGTGAAGGGAAGCAGGATGCGGGCAGGACAGATCAATTGTGAGGCGTCAGCGTATTCCTCACCAAAATACACCCGCTACACTACAATCAGAGAGAGAGAGGAAGAGAGCAGGCCAAGAGGTTGACTGAGGGAGAGTTTATGCAGGTTAAAGTTAAATTACTCTTTACAGTACTACCTCATAATACTGAGGTGATTCTTAATTTATTTCAATATCATATAACATGCAAATAGTCCACACAGACTGTTATGCACAATCTCTTTAGTAACCCTCTTTGATTCACATTTGATTTGGGTTTCCCCCACAATTCATTGCAATGTATCTGTGTTTGCATGGCTTGGTGTTTTGATGTGTGTGGAGGGGGTGAATGTGGTGTGGTGGTAGGGCAGGGGCATCATGTCAGCTAAACCTAGGGAATGGATGGCAAAGGGACATTCTCCTCCAAGGAATGTTTATCCAATTGAAGCTAATTTACTGCATTTCTACACAATTTAAAAACGCTAAAATGCAAGTTGGAGAACAGCAAAAACAAGCAAAAATGAGTCCAGACATTATCACCTTCACATCAGTCAATAGGGGACTTAACATTCTAGAAACCAGTGGAGGCTGCTGAGGGGAGGATGTCTCATTTTAATGGCTGGATTGGAGCAAATGGAATGGCATCAAACGCATGGAAACCATTCCACTGATTCCACTCCAGCCATTACCAATTAAGGTGCCACCAATCCTCCTGCACTACAAACACTTCATACAAGAATGAGCTGCTATGCACTGGCTCAGCACCGGGATTAAAACGCTAGTTTAGTTTCATGTCAAGTCAAACAGCAGTTACCTAGCCAAAGCTATCTACTACAGCCATCTTTACCTCTGCACCAGTGGCGGCTCCTGAAAAAATTCTCAGGGGGGGCAATTTTTCTTATGATTTAGGTGACCTACACACATTTTTAAAAAGATATGTCCAGCAACAACATGAAGACAGGGGCAGCATATAAGTCAATACCAGAAGCATTTATTGACTGATCTCAAAAGTGTTGGCTTACAAAAGCAAAATAAGTTATCACAGTAAAAATAATCAAGGGTGTTCTTTCACATTCCTCAACACTGCATAAACAATATGTATGGCTTTGTAAAAATGAACAACCATATTCTGGCCAATTGTATAGATTTGTAAATATGAACAACCATATTCTGGCCAATTGTATAGATTTGTAAAAATGAACATGAACAGATTTTTTATTTTTTTGAATGGCAGTACCTTTCAAACATGTCTGCTTGCAGTAAGGTAGCACTCACAAGGTGGCCAGAGAAAGAGAACCTTTCTTTGGTGTGATCCAGGATGGTGTTGCAGACCTCTTCAGACAGCCTCTGCTTCTCCTCTTCTCTCAAAGCTGTTCTGGGTCTTTTGGCTCCTGTTGCTTCTTGCAGCTGCTGTTGAGAGGAGTCCCTGAAGGCAAACAGACCAATGTGTTTGTTGGCTTTGTACAGTATTGTTGTCTATGTGATGCACAGGTATATGCAATGTATTCATGTATAGTACAAATACTTCAGTTCCACTTAAAATGGGCAGGGATGCATAAAGTCTTTAGTGTTTAAGTTAGCCTTTGTGTCTCACATAGCCTGGATGTTCAGCACAGTATACAGTGGTGCTCATAAGCTTATGATCCCATGCTAAAGTTGACTAAAAAGAGGAATGAAAAAGAAAAGAAAATTGGTGTCCTTAAAGGTTGGATTTTCCAACTTTTTTAATTAAGTCATTAAGATCAATTTCCAAAAGATGATTTTTTTATTTTTTTATTCCTCTTTTTAGTCAGCTTTAGAATGTGTTCATACACTTATGAGCACCACTGTACAGTACACATAGTATATAAAATAAGATAGATTACACCACTGGCCATATATAATGAGAATAATGTAATTTCAAACACAAATGCAGTCTCCTTTCATGCATACATTTTCAAATAAAGCTCTGCTTTGAGAAAGATCGAATGATATTGTTTAATCTTTATCTTACCTTATGGCCTGCACACTGCTTGCGAAGCTGTCGAGGGCACGTTTGATAAAGACAGCATCGATGTCCTTCTTCTGTAGCTTCTGGTACGGTGGGCTGGTCAAATGAACCCAATGAACCCGTCCGGATGGCTTCAAAACATTCTATGAGGTCGTCTCGATTCTCGTAGACAGTGTTCACGACTCTGCTGTTGCTAACCTCATCGTTGTGGCGGCGGACAGCTAGCCTGTATCCCTCATCCAGTTGAGTGGCAATATTCACTCTCCCCAAAGCAGACAATCTCAAACAGCTATCAATGTGGGTCTTTGACAGCTCATTTTTCTTAATCTTTTCTGAAAGATGGTGCATGTCGGTTACACCAGTCGCTGTCCAAGCGGTGCTGTCTGCCGTGCCGCCTTCAGGGTGAAAGAGTAGTTTCTTAGTTACGTTCATGGTTACGTTACGTTACGTATGACGAAAGCGCGTAAGTGCAAGCCCTCAGAAACCCATAGAGATTGTATTGAAAGCTCTGAAATTTGAAAAAAAATATTTTACATTAGAGGCTATGAGAGACTTCTGGGCGATTTTCAACCTGACTGAAATCGGCCCCAAAACGGGCGGGGACATTTGAAGCACGACTTTAGCCTGATTGGACATTTAGTGGCTGGCAGATCAGACGTCTAGATTAGAACACTGAACTACTGTTGCCGTGATATAATTGATTAGAAAAAAAATCCCTTCCTTTTCCCGTTTGGCAGTGCGTCGCCCATATCGCCCTATTGAACACACCGCCCCTGCTCTGCACTGTTTTGAGAAAAAGTTGTGCTGTTCCCTGCAGTGATGCGCTCTCCATAAAGCCAGCCAGCCATACAAACAGCCTTCCCCCCTGCTCCCAGGTGTCTGCATGGTCCTAAAGTCAGCCCCCTGTTCTGTTAAACTGCATTTGCCTTTTAATAGGTTGAAAAAAGAATTAGTAGCCTATTTCAATTGTTTTTGTTGTAGGGTATGGCGAAAGCCATACCCAATTGACACCCCTGTGATAAAGGGGTTAGAAGATGACATGGATATGTTTTGGAACAGCAGGATGCATGTTATGTGTGTCTCAAGTGACATGTTTGTGTTGGTGGGAGTGTGTGTGTGTGGGACCAGATGAGCGACTAAGGCAACAGGCTGGGGGTTCTTCCAGGCGCACAGTCCTTGAGGCTCTTGGCTCTGTCCACTGAAAATAATAACTTTCCTGGACTGTGTCCCAAATGGCACCCTATTCCCTATACCAAGGCTCCCCTACCCTCTTCCTGGAGATCTACCGTCCTGTGGGTTTTCAGTCCAACCCTAATTTAACACACCTAATTCTACTTATTAGCTGCTCAACAAGACCTTAACTAGCTGAGTAAGATACGCTAAATTAGGGTTGGACTGAAAACCTACAGGACAGTAGATCTCCAGGAAGAGGGTTGGGCAGCCCTGCCCTACGTAGTGCACTTTATAGGAAATAGGGTGCCAGTTGGGGATGCATCCCTGGATATTTCAGGAGCAGATCTATTATTGATCAGGGTCCTGCTGGTCACCAGAGAGACAACATGGCTGCCAGTCTGATTGACTCTCTGACTGCGCAAAATGTGATACTCACACCGAAAGGAGAGGGAAGGAGGGAGACAGAGAGACAGACAGAGAGAGAGACACAGAGAGAGAGACAGACAGAGAGAGAGACACACAGAGAGGAAGAGAGAGACAGAGAAGAGATAGGAGAGATAGAGTAGACATAGAGAGTAGAGACAAGAGAGAGAGAGACAGGAGAGAAGAGAGAGAGAAGAGAGACATATAGAGACAGAGAGATAGAGAGAGGAGAGACAGAGAATGAAGACAAGAGAGGGCAATCTGAGAACAGCCTAGGGGTTGGATGCAGAGGGAAAGAAAAAGAGAAGGACATTTGGAGCAAAATAAACCAATACATAGCAACTATCAGTAATATAATTGCCGAGGTAGAGAGAGAGAGAGAAAGAAGAGATGAGATAGAGAGATATAGAGAGAAGAGTATGAGAGAGACATGAGAGATAAGCCTTTTTCCTTTAAAAATTTTTGGGGTCCCAAATAAACCCATTTTAACCAAGTTCCCCCTTTTGGAAATAAAATTGGGGTTTTTTTTAGTAAAAAATTTTAACAATAATTTAATTAAGGTAAAAGCCCTTTGGGAAAAGATAGAAATTTAGGGGGTAAAACCCAAAGGGAAAATTAGAAATTGGGCACCCTGACTTTTTTGGAAAAGGGTCCAATGCCCCCTGGAATTTCAACAACTTTTAATTGGGGGTTTCTAAGAAAAGGGGGGGGTTTTTTGCCCCCAAAAAAAAAAATGGTGATAAAAAAAAGGGGGGGAAAGGGGGGAAAAGAGGGAAAAAAAAAAGGGGAAAAAAAAAGAAAACAAAAAAAAGGAAAAGAGAAAGGGAAAGAAAATAAAAAAGAGAAAAAAAAAAAGAAAAAAAAACAAAAAAAAAAAAAAAAAAACGGGGGGGGAAATCTAAAACCTAGGGGGTTACAGAAAAGAAAAAGAAAATTTGGGGAAAATAAAAAAAATTTACAGAAACTTTAAAAATTTTAATCCTGGGGAGGGGGGGAATTAAGGAAGTAAGAATAAATTTCCTGGTTTGGGAAATAAAAAAAATTCCCTTTTTCCCTCACCTCCCAATCCCCTTTTTTCATCACCAACTAAACCCCTCCTCTACTCCGACCCTTTCCCGCCTATCCTTAAAGGTTTTTTCCTCCCCCTTTCCTCCGTTCTTTCCCCCCCCCCCTCCTCTACTTTTTTTCTTTAACCCTTTTTTGGGTCTTTCCTTTTCTTTGTCTCTGTGCCCTCCCTTCTTTGCTTCTACCCATTAACCCCCCCTCTATTGAAGGCAAAGGGGGGGCCTAGGATCTTTTAAAATTTTCCCCTTTTTTTGGAAATAGATATGGCCCTTATTCAGGTTTTCATTTTCTTCCTTTACCCAAAACCAAGAGCCCCCTACACATTAAACCCAAACCTGACTTATGGGCCCCCCTTTTAAAAAGGGGAATTGAAAATTTTATTTGGTGTTTTTAAAGTTTTTTTGGGAACAAAAAGCCTGCCCCCTTTTCCCCCGCAAATTACCAGCTATGAGTAAAATATTTTTGAAACTTCCTAAATAAATAAATAAACCCCCAAATTTAAACCGGGGGGTTTCCCTTTGAGAAAACCCCTATTTTAGTGGGAAAACATTTTTTCCCCTTTAATATTCTCATTTTTCCCTCCAATGTTTATCCCCTTCCCAAAATAACGAAAAATTTAAGGAAAAAATTTAAGTGGGGAAAAGTGGGGAAAAAGGGGTTTGGGGGGGCGTTTAGTGGGGTTTCCCCTTTTCGTTTTTTTTCATTTTTTTTTTTTTTTATGTTTATTTTTCTTATTTTTTTTTTGGCTCTGGGGTTTTGTTTTGTTTTCTTGTTTTTTTTTTTTGTTCTTTTTTCCCCTTCCTTTCATTTGGTGCTTTCATTTTCCCCGTTTTTTTTTATTTTTTTATTTTTTTAAATTGAGGGTTGGTTTTTTTTTTGGGGGGTTTTTTTGGGGTTTTGGGTGTGGGGTTTTTTGGTTTTTGTTTTTTTTTTGGCAGGGGGGCAGAAGGGGGGGAGGGGGCGTGTGGGGCGGGGAAAATTTTTTTTTTCCTCATCCCACTCCTCCCCACTCCTGTCATATATGTCTATCCTGATGACGCTTGGAGTCCTTTCCTTTTGGAATCCGCTGGTTGCGTGCAGATCCCGTCCACCGTCCCCCCCTCTTTCTCCCCCCCGCGATGAGAGCTGGAGCCTTTCTTTACTCGCTGGTGCGGGCAGAACCCCCGTGCCCAACCGTTCTCCCCGCAGAATGTGTGGCGCATGGTTCACCCCAGAATACAGCCTGGGCAGCAAGTGCCACGTGGGTATGGCCAGCATGTGAGAGAGGATATAGACATACAGTAGATAGGACAAGGCACAGACACCATTTTCTGTTTGAGGGAAATACACAGAAGTGGTGTGTTGTGTTAGTGTAACCAAGAGGGTTATATATAGAGATTGTATGTGCCAAGCAGTTAGGTCTGTATCGTTTCGTTATAATCTGTATTGCAAAGGAAATATGAGATGGAAAGAGTGTTGAGAGTTTGGACCCAACCAATGAAACTGTCTGATTGCTGTTTTCTTAGATCATTGGTGGAGTGGATACTTCTCTCTATGTTGGGGACCTGTGGTACACCCCGATCCGCCGGGAGTGGTATTATGAGGTCATCATTGTGCGCATTGAGGTCAATGGTCAGGATCTCAACATGGACTGCAAGGAGGTGAGATACTGTAGCTGATGACCCTTTAATCAACATTTTCCTCCCTATTTCATTCCACTTTCTCTTTAATATAATATATGCCGTTTAGCAGACTCTTTTATCCAAAGCGACTTATAGGCATGTGTGCGTACATTTGAAGTATGGGTGGCCCCTTCTATTTTTATATTTTGTTTGCTCCTGTATTCTCTTTAGTTAACCTGAATATCTGTCTGTTGTTTACCTTTTATCACTAATAATGGTGCGGTAAGTGACAGTGAATAAAGAATGACAATTTGTTTCCTCTCTCTTGTGTCCCCTATCAGTACAACTATGATAGAGCATTGTGGACAGCGGACCCCCACCAACCTCCGGGTCCCTCGCAAAGTTTTCCAGGCAGAGCCGTGAAGGCCATCGAGGCAGCCTCGTCTGTGAGTCCATTCCTCAAACCCCCTTTTCTCATCTCTCTCTCACTCCCCCCTCTCCCCTCTGTTGTTTTGTTTTTCTCTCTCTTCTTTGTAGCTGCTAGTTTCAACTAGTGTCATGTGAAAACCCCTTTCCCCAGGTTTTAATTCTGTAATAGTTTTCATAGCTATCATCTTTCTCTAGTTTTTTCTGCAATTGCTAATATTTTTTCTACCCCCCCCCCCCCCCCACCAAACCCCCCACAACGCACACACCACAACACGCACAAATGCCATGTCTCTCTATCAGACGGAGCAGTTTCCCTCTGGGTTCTGGTTGGGGGAGCAGCTGGTGTGCTGGCAGGCTGGCACCACCCCGTGGCACATCTTCCCTGTCATCTCGCTCTACCTAATGAGTGAGAACCGCAACCAGTCCTTCCGCATCTCCATTCTCCCACAGGTATGTATGCACACATGACTGTAAGTCGCTTTGGATAAAAGCGTCTGCTAAATGGCATATTATTATTATTATTATTATTAGGTAAGTGTCTGTCTGTGTACTTACCTGTCATTGAATACAATAGATCTTCATTATTCAATTCATCAATTCAATGAGCTAGTGATGATCCTCTCTTAAACTCCTTTCACTTTTCATTCAATTTAGATGTGTTGAGAACTACAGAGAGTATTTGACGTATGTTATTCCAATGAGAGACTGGACCTTGGAGATAGTGGTGATTCATGTAATCACTGTTTCAATGGCAATGAGATAGAAGTGGAGAGCAGCTTATATTGGGACAGTAGAGGCAGCTAGTGCTGGCCTTGAAGCTTCGACAAGCAACAGTTAACATTGATAATAAAAAATGTGAAAGTAGTGCGTATATACCTCACTCATGCACGGACTGGTTATGCATGCTTACACCAAACCCAAACTGCATAGACAAGCACAAAAAAGTGCTGTGAGCTTATTAGCCTATTGCTGTATTTCTCCTGGCTTATTCTTACCATCCATTGTAGGTGTTCTCTGCTGACTGATGTCTGCTGTTTCTTTGTGCCCCCTGCAGCAGTACCTGCGACCCGTGGAGGATGTGGCCTCGGCCCAGGAGGACTGCTATAAGTTTGCCGTGTCCCAGTCCAGCACGGGCACCGTCATGGGCGCCGTCATCATGGAGGGCTTCTATGTGGTGTTCGACCGCCAGAGGAAACGCATCGGATTCGCCGTCAGCACCTGCCATGGTGAGGGGGGATAGAGGGAGTATGAGAAGGCGGGAGAGGGGGAGATGGTGTAAATATATATATATATATATATATATATATATATATATATATATACACTGAGTGAACAAAACATTATGAACATAGACTGACCAGGTGATCCCTTATTGATATCACTTGTTAAATCCACTTCAATCAGTGTAGATGAAGGGGAGGAGACAGGTTAAAGAAGAATTACGTTTAGGGTTAGGAGCTAGGGTTAGTTTTAGGGTTAAGGTTAGGTTTAGGGTTAGGGTTAGGTTTTCGGTTTATGGTTAGGGTACAGGTTAGTGTTAGGGGTTAGGGAAAATAGGATTTTGAATGGGACTGAATTGTGTGTCCCCACAAGGTTTGTTGTACAAGACTGTGTGTGTGTGTGTGCCTGTATGTATGTTGCTGATCGATGTGTATTTCTATGCCACAGTGCATGATGAGTTTCGCACAGCCTCCGTCGAGGGGCCGTTCCATGGCGTGGACCTGGAGGACTGCGGCTACAACATCCCGCAGACGGACGAGTCCACCCTCATGACCATTGCCTACATCATGGCGGGCATCTGTGCCCTCTTCATGCTGCCACTATGCCTCATGGTGTGCCAGTGGCGCTTCTCCCGCTGCCTTCACCCAACTGGATCTGGGGACTTGGCTGATGATATCTCTCTCCTCAAATGATAGAGAGGCATGGACATATAGTACACAGGAAAGGCAAGCCTACCAGAAATGGAGATGGAGGCTTTGCTTATTGTTGTTGAGGGCGCATCAGCCTCATTGAGTAATGCAGAAACAGATTAACATGTAGGATGGTGTTGGTTGTGGCTTGGGCGGGTAGCACAATGACCAAACAAGCCAATGGCCACTTACTTTGAATTCATCAAAGGTGGATATACCAGCAAGCTGGGTTAAATGGCCTCCTGGATTCAGTGGACAACTTTATTGATATAAGGGCATGATATAAATATACAGTACGTATAGGTGTGTGTGAGTGTTTGTGATTGTATGAGGTGTGTGTATATGTATGCATGTATGTATGAGTGTTTATGGTTTATGGATCACATGTACAAATTAGGTGATCTAGAATTTAAAGATGGACCTGATTATTGAATATATTTGATTTGTTCGATTTTACATCAACAGTACCAGCTAAAGAACGCTAATCATGAGTGCTAATTGGGTGAACTTTTCAAGAGAGTGAAATTAGCACTCAAAAATCAGATGCAATTAACTTTTATGGTGAAGCCATGTTACTTGGTGTGCATTAATAAGCTTAGATTATGTATTTAATACAATTAATATCAGATATGACACTTTTATATGGCTCTTGTTGATTAAGTTGGTGCATTACCTCACTGCTAGTGAATGCACTAATTCACACAAAAAGAAAAACACGGACACACACACACGCAAGGATTCTCCCACACGTACAGAGGTCTTCAAAACCTCCAAACAGCTTGAACATCTCAGACAACCCCTCAACAGCTTTATACAAAAACTCACCGACACAGACCCGGACAGTATTCATGTAACCCCAGTCAACTGCACTATCCCTATAGTGCGCTTGAATATAAATAGTTTTGTTATTTTATGTAAATTAACACAATAGTAAAATGTCTCAATGAGGGACAGATTCTACTTTCATCGACCTGCTGTAAATAAATCTGAAATGTATATCTGTCAGATGCACCTGACACTGCACTGACCACAGACTACGAATAAATAAAGTAACAAATATAACACAATCTGTGTCCTGACATTAATTCCCCTTCCCTGATGAGACATCAGGACCTATAATGGCACTGTTGTTTAAATCAATCCTGCGTCTTGTATTGCCACATTTCATGTAGGTTGAAAATAGTCAAGATATCTAAGTAATGGACCAAATACTGCAGTATCATGATTAGAAGACCAATAAGTTGTATTTTTCAAGAATATACACTGAGTATACAAAACATTAAGAACACCTGCTCTTTCCATGACAGACTGACCAGGTTAAAGCTATGATCCCTTATTGATGTCACTTGTTAAATACACTTCAATCAGTGTAGATCAGGGCTGCCCAAACCTCTTCCTGAAGATCTACCATCCTGTGGGTTTTCAGTTCAACCCTAATTTAACACCCCTGATTCTACTTATTAGCTGCTCAACAATACCTTAACTAGCTGAATCAGATACGCTAAATTAGGGTTGGACTGAAAACCTACAGGACAGTAGATCTCCAGGAAGAGGGTTGGGCAGCCCTACCCTACGTAGTGCACTTTATAGGGAATAGGGTGCCAGTTGGGGATGCATCCCTGGATATTTCAGGAGCAGATCTATTATTGATCAGGGTCCTGCTGGTCACCAGAGAGACAACATGGCTGCCAGTCTGATTGACTCACTGACTGCGCAAAATGTGATACTCACACCGAAAGGAGAGGGAAGGAGGGAGACTGAAAACCTACAGGACAGTAGATCTACAGGAAGAGGGTTGGGCAGCCCTGGTGTAGATGAAGGGGAGGAGACAGGTTAAAATAAGGAATTGTAAGCGTTGAGACATGGGTTGTGTATGTGTGCCACTCAGTGGCTGTTCTGAGAGGGAAAGGGGGGTGCAACTCCATATTAGGAAGGTGTTCCTAATGTTTGGTATTATCATTGTATCATTAATTTTAAAGTCCAAAAATAGATGTAGCAACTTGATCATTCCTAGAGGTTATGATGATCTAGCTGTGGGATATCTGTAAACTTGTATCATATTTCACCTCACCTGTTAGCCTGCCTGGATACCAGTCTGTTCAGCTAACAAACATTCCACTCCTTGTACTCCCTGTCATCTGTCAAAGATGTTTAGCGTGGCAGGGAGTGTAATGATGGCTAAACATACTGGTACACATAATATACGTCTCCCCCAAGTGGATAAAAAAAAACATACATAGAAAAGTTGTTGCGGAAGTGACGACATTACGGAAACTACAGTCTCTCAAGTGATGGTAAATGAAATTGTCGAACACAAACGTCGACGAAAAGGTAAAATACATTTAATCAGTATGAAATGTAGCCATGTTATTAAAGTACTTGCTTGCGTGTTGAGAACTAACTACTACTGGCTAATTCACGTCGTTAGCTGGCTAGCTAGTTCAGAAAACATCCGCACGGTCCGTTTATTGCTAGCCCGTAGTTAATTAGCAGATATCAGACGAACTAAGGAGTGTTGTCTGGCTATTTACATAACTAGTTGTCGAATAAAAAGTGTGTAGTTCGCTATTTCGTTTCGGTCGCAGTCGTGTTATAAAACGAGCTTCCAAACTGCTATAACTAGGACTGCAGCTAACTACCTAACGTTAGTAGCTAGCTAGCCTACGTTACTGTACAGCGAGTTACACTCCCGAAACAAACAGTGGGGTTTTACTTCAGTCTAACGTTAGTTAGCGAACTAGCGATGTTAATTCCATCAATTTTTAAATTGGGAGATAGGATGCTGAGTTAGGCCTACTTCTACCAAACTAGCTAACACATACATAGTTAACGTTAGCTAACAAAATTTTTGTTTGTTAAGCTGTCAACATTGATATCCATACTAAGTTTTCCTCTACTACTGTACTGAATAACACTTGTCCCTGCCCTAGCCCAGGGATTCCCTAACTCGGACCAGGGGCCGCCCTGGGTGCACGTTTTGGTTTTTGCCCTAACACTACACAGCTGATTCAAATAATCAAAGCTTGCTGATGAGTTGGTTATTTGAATCAGCTGTGTAGCGCTAGGGCAAAAACCAAAATGTGCACCCGTTTGCGAAACCCTGTCCTAGCACAATAATGGACTAAATCAGGGTTTCCCAACCCTCTCCTTGGCCCCCCACAGATGTTTCACATTTTAGTTTTAACCCTACATTGGCACACCTGATTCAATTAGTCAAAGGCTTGATGATTAGTTCACTAATTGAATCAGGTGTGGCAGTTTAGAGTTAAAACAGAGAGGAAGAGAGGCCCAACTCTGTGGAAAATCTGTCTCCCTCAAGCAGGTGCTGGGTTTGTTGTTTGTTCACCAAGCGAGGAGTTTTCACCAAGTGAATGAGTGTTGAATTTGGTCAACCAAAAATTTATGGTTTATTTGATCAGAAGTTTTGTAACGCTTAAGTTAAGAGTGTACTGATAAGTAGGACATATGACTTCCCAACAAGTTGTCTTGAGATGGCTATGCATATTCAGGGAATAAGTCAGTTTTAACACAGTTGCAGTCAACAGTATTTTTCAGTGACAACACTTTAACAAAACTTCCCCGGCCAGAATATACTATTGTCAGTAAGCACTAAATGTAGTTAGCTTCTATGCATGGGCTACCCCTGCCCTAGTGTTGATGTCCTCGGAAAATAACTTTGAACTGGTCTAACAACCCAGAAATGACAACCTGAGTCTTTCCCTTTTTGATATAGTCTAGCTTATTCTGCTTTTAGCTAAATTCTCCCATCTTAATTTACAAGCTTGACAAAATGTGGGTTCAAATGGCCTCCGTCCACACCGTCATAAACAACACAATTTGTGTGAATTCGTGTCACGACAAGTCTGTGTGTGCTGTAACATTAGTCAGGTTATAGTCCTATTCTTTCCTAACAGAGAAAAAGGCGTCAATACTCGGCAAAATATGCATTGTCCACGATAGCTTTGGCATTTTTTACAACTTTAGTTGATTCATACGCTACATGGAGTTGTCCTTGTGTTCTGTGGTTAGACTAGCCTATCATTAGCAGGATCATAGTGTCACATGGATATGGTAAAAAAACGTACCGGCCGCCTCTCCAGTGTCAGTGTCATTAACAGCACAATGTTATATAGGGCTGGTGCAGTGATTGGCTGGAGTTCTGATATGAACAGTGTGCCAATGAAGGGTGTGTACCAGTGCATTACTTTGAGGGCTGTTGAATATGAGAACTGGTCTGTTGTTGTGAAATCTCGCTACTGCCTTTTGAATACCACACTGCAGTGGCCATCTCTCCCTCTTCTGTGTGTTCAGCTACCTTCTCTACTCCTGTGTCTCCTCAGGCTGCAGGTCCTAATGTGGAGGCGGAGAAGAACTTGCGTTGATCACGTGCCTGTGTTGCTATGGGTTCACCCCCCTTGTTCCTGTTCCTCCTGGGCCTGACCTCTATGCTCCGCCTGACTGTTCATACCCTCCACACATCCGCCCCTCCCCCGTCTCCTCCCCCCTCCTGTGGGCCGGGCCAGTCCTGGGCCGTCCGGCTGCACGCAGACTCAGAGCTGCTAGGGACTGAAGGCTCCACCCTGCACGAGCTGGCCAGCAGGGTGGCTGAGCAGGCAGGCCTGGAGAACAGGGGCCAGATAGGGCAGCTGGAGGGCCACTACCTGCTCTGTGCTGGGCCCGAGGAGGAGGGCAGGCCGGGGGACGTGCTGGAAGCCCACCCTCATGTGCTCTGGCACTCCCAGGAGCAGGTCCTCCACCGCTCCAAGAGGGCAATGGCCTTCAACGACCCCAGATACCCCTTACAGTGGCACCTGGTGAGACTTACTGCACACTTAAGCCTATAGAATATTCAGATATGTAAGAATGCACAGTACTTTTTTAACTGAGTCAGCTACAGTGAGGGAAAAAAGTATTTGATCCCCTGCTGATTTTGTACGTTTGCCCACTGACAAAGAAATTATCAGTCTATATTTTAATGGTAGGTTTATTTGAACAGTGAGAGACAGAATAACAACCAAAAAATCCAGAAAAACGCATGTCAAAAATGTTATAAATTGATTTGCATTTTAAAGAACTGTCAATCTCCCTCGGCCTGGGGCTCCATGCAAGATCTCACCTCGTGGGGTTGCAATGATCATGAGAACGGTGAGGAATCAGCCCAGAACTACACGGGAGGATCTTGTCAATGATCTCAAGGCAGCTGGGACCATAGTCACCAAGAAAACAGTTGGTAACACACTACGCCGTGAAGGACTGAAATCCTGCAGCGCCCGCAAGGTCCCCCTGCTCAAGAGAGCACATATACAGGCCCGTCTGAAGTTTGCCAATGAACATCTGAATGATTCAGAGGAGAACTGGGTGAAAGTGTTGTGGTTAGATGAGACCAAAATCGAGCTCTTTGGCATCAACTCAACTTGCCGTGTTTGGAGAGGAGGAATGCTGCCTATGACCCCAAGAACACCATCCCCACCGTCAAACATGGAGGTGGAAACTTATGCTTGGGGTGTTTTTCTTACATTTACATTTAAGGTCATTTAGCAACGCTCTTATCCAGAGCGACTTACAGTTAGTGAATACATATAATTTTTTATAACTGGCCCCCCGTGGGAATCAACCCACAACCCCTGGCGTTGCAAACGCCATGCTCTATCAACTGAGCTACATCCGCCGGCCATTCCCTCCCCTACACCTGGCGAACGCTGGGTCCAATTGTGCCCGACCATGAGTTCTCCCGGTCGCGCCGGCTGGACAGAGCCTGGATTCGAACCAGGATCTCTAGTGGCACAGCTAGCACTGCGATGCAGTGCCTTAGACCACTGCGCCCTTCTTCTAAGGGGACAGGACAACTTCACCGCATCAAAGGGACGATGGACGCCGCCATGTACCGTCAAATCTTGGGTGAGAACCTCCTTCCATCAGCCAGGGCATTGAAAATGGGTTGTGGATGGGTATTCCAGCATGACAATGACCCAAAACACACGGCCAAGGCAACAAAGGAGTGGCTCAAGAAGAAGCACATTAAGGTCCTGGAGTGGCCTAGCCAGTCTCCAGACCTTAATCCCATAGAAAATATGTGGAGGGAGCTGAAGGTTCGAGTTGCCAAACGTCAGGCTCGAAACCTTAATGACTTGGAGAAGATCTGCAAAGAGGAGTGGGACAAAATCCCTCCTGAGATGTGTGCAAACCTGGTGGCCAACTACAAGAAACGTCTGACCTCTGTGATTGCCAACAAGGGTTTTCCCACCAAGTACTAAGTCATGTTTTGCAGTGGGGTCAAATACTTATTTCCCTCATTAAAATGCAAATCACTTTATAACATTTTTGACATGCGTTTTTCTGGATTTTTGTTTTGTTATTCTGTCTCACTGTTCAAATAAACCTAGCATTAAAATTATAGACTGATCATGTCTTTGTCAGTGGGCAAACGTACAAAATCAGCAGGGGATCAAATACTTTTTTCCCTCACTGTATATGCTACGTTTATTTTCATTCCTCATTTGTGAACAATGTTTTTCGACCATGGTCACTTCCCCGCTCTTCTCCTCCTCCATCCACTCTTTCTACCTCCTCCTCTCCACCCAACCACAGCACAACGATGTCAGGGAGGGCATGGACATCAATGTGACTGGTGTATGGGAGCGCAACATCACAGGGGTAGGGGTGACCGTGGTGGTCGTGGACGATGGGGTTCAGCACACCCTCCAGGACATTCAGTCAAACTATGTGAGTTTCATGCTGGCCACGTCTAGGCCTATTTCCTTTTAAGCATGTTGCTATTAAAAGGCATAGGCTGACGCACACCCCAAAATCTTTTGTAGAGGTTCTGACTAACTGAGCGTAAACTATAAAAAGAAAGTAAGTTGCACACTCTTATGTTCCCAAATATTTCATGGGTATTGCAACCAACGTTCCGGCACGCAGTGCTTTCTTCAGGGTTAGGGTTCAGTGCCGAAATGTTGCTATACCCATAAAATATTTGGGAGCATAATTAGGGACTTTGTTTCTTTTTAAAGCTTTTTACAATTGTCATCATGTAGTATGTTATTTTCCAAATTCACATTCTCACATGCTTTATTCTTCCCAAATACAAATGTTCTCGTGCTTCATTCTGTCCCTTTAGAGTCCAGAGGGCAGTTATGACTTGAACTCCAACGACCCGGACCCCATGCCCCACCCGGACGCCCACAGTGACAACCACCACGGCACACGCTGCGCCGGGGAGATCGCTGCCGTCTCCAACAACAGCTTCTGCGCTGTGGGCGTGGCCTATGGCAGTAAAGTGGCGGGTACGTTGTGTGTTTGGAAAGCTTGGTTATTTTAGTCATTAGTGGACACCATAGCAAATAGTTTTGCACGGAAAATGAAATGTAGTATTGCTTTTTGGACACGTTCAGGTAGTCCCTCCCTATTTGTCAGTTTTATTCTGTTTGGTTGTCTAGGGGGGAAATCAGACCCAAGTTACGCGCGCATAAATTGAACTTTATGCACTCTTCTCTCAACAAGTATTCTGATTTTGAACATGAGCATTAGGAAACGCATGTGACAGCCAGCTAAACGTTTGGGGTGGATATCATAGAAATTGAGGTGGCGGAGATGTACGCCGTATTCTGACCTTGACTTAATTCCCTCATAATTCCAGCACCTTTACGTGCAAGGAAACCATGACTAATGTCGAGCACCTGTCGGTTCCAAGTGGAAAAACATCTACAATTTCCAATAGAAATAACACCATTCTCCATGCATAGTAATGTCTAATTGATAAGAGCTAGGTAAATGAGTATTCGTTTGGAGAAGGGGACTGTAATTACAAATAGCAATTGTTTTAGATGATTTTTCCTTATGATCGCTAGAGACGAATGTGAAACCAGTCATGGAAGCAAACTGAAAATAATATCAACATGACGTATTTCGGCCCCTTTTCCTCAGTGAAGTAAGCTATAAATAGCTGTGCCGTTAATCAGAATTTATTCTATGTCCTATAGACCCAAGCTATATGCTTCTGTAGCATCAAACCTACTGAGTTGATTGATGCGCTCTAGAATGTTTTAATTATATGCCCGGGCTTTTCTCCATGTACATTTTTTTTTTGTCTCATGCTTAATATTAGCCACTATTGGTAGCCACCGTCAGTAATTCCCACATACATTTATAACTGTAACTTTAGTGTTCGTTTCCTTCAATTTGTAGCCTACATTTTGCATCATTCCATTCTGTTTACCTTTCTTTCCTCTGTCACGTCCGTGTAGTTGTTTCTGAGGATTGCTAGCAATAGTGGAACATTTAAGGCTAACTAATTTGGGACATGGTAGCCTATTTCAGGGTTTCCCAAAATCGGTCCTCAGGACCCCAAGGGGTGCACGTTTTGTTTTTTACCCTAGCGCTACACAGCTGATTAAAATGATCAAAGCTTGATGATTATTTGAATCATCTTTGTAGTGCTAGGTCAAAAAACAAAACGTTGTACCCCTTGGGGTCCCGAGGACCGAGTTTGGGAAACCCTGGCCTATTTGAATCATTATGGAACTCATACCACACTTAGCAGTTTGAGCCTGGTGCACATTTCACGACCACTGGATCGTTGTCATACAGTTCCATGATTAGTTGATTTATAGGACTATTTTTCAACCCCTATTGTACACTTTTCTCACCTTCCAATATTTTATGAATTGAACAATTGAATATGGCAACTTTCAGTATGAATCAAACCACTGTATTTTTCATTAATATATTTTGTGTGTAAAGGCTCTCCAAACCTGTTTTTTATGATTCATTCCCTTTCCTAACCCTAAATTATCTACAAGATTAGAGTATTTTAAAATCTACCAATTGTTGTTGAAACGGAGACAAATATGCATTTATTTAGATGTTTTTATTTTATTGATCCCTAATATTCTGAACCCGTTCGCTATATATTATATTGTCTGTCGAGAAAATTCAAATTAAAGGTACACCATATTTAAAGGGAGGGCTAGATAAATGTGCTGAAAACCCCATTGAATGACAACTCCATGAGGAAATCTGTTGGCCAGCAAGTGGGAAGGTTTTCAGCAGTTGAATTAAATGTATTCAGTGCGCATAAGGGAGCCACTCCCAAAGAGCTCGTTGTGCATCTGCATAAGGTACGTCTGAATACCAAATACTGAGAAGTGCTTAAATCAAAACGTGTAGGAAAGGTATACATTTCCTAAGTCTGAATCGGGCCCCTAGTGAATACAACCCTGGTCTGGTCAGGTGCTGAGGAAAATCTCATGGCCCTAGTTATGTAGATTGTGCTATGAGATTCTTATATTTTGAAATCCTCGTCATATTTTGTCTGTTCAGGTATCAGAGTCCTGGATGGGCCGCTCACAGACAGTATGGAGGCAGTGGCTTTCAACAAGCACTACCAGATCAACGATGTCTACAGCTGCAGGTACAACCGTGTACAGCTCAGCCTCACCTGACTCTGAACATGCTTGGTTTGCTTATAGTCTCAGCATAAAGCAAACTACTAACAGGAATATACAGCCAACCACAGCTCTAAGCATGGTTATAAAGATATGCCCTTCTCTCTCTCTCTAGATTTTTCCTCCGCTGCTCTTCAGTGGCTGTAGGAAAAAATGTGTCTGACTCAACTGTGCTCTCCTCTTCCCTCTCCTCCTCCTCCTCAGTTGGGGTCCTGATGATGATGGCCGCACTGTCGATGGACCACACCCCTTGGGCAAGGTTAGCATGGATACAACATACGTTACTACACACAACCCATTTCTAACACGTATTGCCAGCCCTAGTCTCCTTATAGAAATGCATTATGAGAACGCATTTCTGCACCACTCTCCTGTACCAGCAGAGGGAAGTATACTGTTGCACTCTACAGGGCACAGTTTGTGTGAGTGTCTTATGAGACCAAGAAAAGAGAAGGCCCATCCCTTACACACGTACATGCACATACACACACACTCTGACTCGAGACAGAGTGTCTGGCTTTTTCTGATCATGTTCGTTGCCTAGGTGTGCCTCACTTCCTGAATGGCTTTGGCAGGCACTGTGGAAACGAATCAGAACTACCAAATCCCCTCAGCCAGTCCTCATGGTCTAATAGAAATTCATGCTAGCTGCGGCTTCCAGCTTTTCACAAACCTATGAATGGAGGTATACATACAGGATAGGATTATAATGACATACACTGAGTATACCAAACATTAGAAACACCTTCCATGGACGCTACAAGGTGTCAGAAGCATTCCACAGGGATGCTGGCCCATGTTGACTCCAATGCTTCCCACAGTTGTCAAGTTGGCTGGATGTCCTTTGGGTGGTGGACCGTTTTTGATACAAACGGGAAACTGTTGAGCGTGAAAAACCCAGCAGCATTGCAGTTTTTGACACAAACCGGTGTGCCTGGCACCTACTACCATACCCTGTTCAAAGGCACTTACATCTTTTGTCTTGCCCATTCACCCCCTGAATGGCACACATGCACAATCCATGTCTCAAGGCTTAAAAATCATTCTTTAACCTGTCTCCTCCCCTTCATCTACACTGATTGAAGTGGGGATTTAACAAGTGACATCAATAAAGGATCATAGCTTTCACCTGGTCAGTCTGTCATGGAAAGAGCAAGTGTTCTTAATGTTTTGTATACTTAATATTGAATATTCAGTTATGACTAGCCCTGTGAATGCTGCTCACCAATGAGGAGCCTTGTTAACCATTTTAAATGTTGCTATATACTCTGGTTGGCTGTATTAGTCTACAAGAAGTTATTAGGCGTGACTAACTGAAGTGAATGTTTCCTTGTTTTGCCTATAGGCGGCGCTGCAGCACGGCGTGATTGCTGGCAGAAGGGGCTTCGGCAGTATCTTTGTCGTCGCCAGTGGCAACGGGGGCCAGTACGAGGACAACTGCAACTACGATGGCTATGCTAACTCAATCTACACTATTACCATTGGTAAGTGAATAAGAGCAATGTTGTCTATCTCTGTGTCTGTGTGTTGTGTGTTTCTAATCGTGTGTATGTGTGTCTCTTGTAGGAGCAGTAAATGAGGAAGGGAAGATGCCCTTCTATGCTGAGGAGTGTGCCTCCATGCTGGCTGTCACCTTCAGCAGTGGGGGCAAAACGCTGCGTAGTATCGTGAGTCTGTACTGATAGTAACACACACCATTTAGAGGGCGTTTTCACACATAGTTCTGAGCTATAGCTCGATTCAGAGTTTGATTATTTGTTCCGTTGTATTTTTTCCATTTGGTCCGTTTGGTTTCACATGACCAAATGTCAAACAAACTAAAATGCCTAAACAACCATGTGTTCATGCAAGTCATTAGTTTATTGGAGAAAAATGCCCATGTTAAATCCATCTATGATTATCAAGAAGCATAACTTGTATGTCCCAAACTTCATATTACTTTCGCTTTGGTCTTCCAACAACATGCGGGAGTAAACTGCGCAATAACCGCTCTAACACCGACGTGAATAGGCTATATTCCATAGCCTATATCCCAGCCCCCCTCTCCCCTAATCTGCATTGGATGTGCTCATAAATGCGCTGCTACTTACAGAATGTTTCAGAGATACCAAGTTATGGTACTGCTTGCATTTCATCAAATGCTCGCAGTCAAACAGCCAATAATACCGCGCACCTTCCTGAGTTTGACTGCGTTCTCACCTGCAGTGAACTGCACCATGGTACGAATGGAATCCCCCTTACAAAGACTGGTTGTGCCTAGGCTCTTAAGACATAGATTGATGAGAAAGTTAGACAGTCGGATAATGACAGATGATACTGTACTGTGCCAATCAGACATCTTTGAATGAAGCGGAGAGAAGGACACATTGATGGCTGGTGAGTTAAAGGAAAACTCCACCCAAAAACTATCTTTTGGTATTTGTTTCATTAGTCCATTGTTGATATAACCCCAAAATGATTTTCATGTCAACAATCAAGTTTTCAAGATGCATAACTTTCAAAATACAGAAATACAGCTGGTATGATGCATTTTGCATCATATGGTTCTGCGTTTTGAGCAAGTGCATAGGAGAGGGTTTTAGGAAGCTAGAGAGGAGAGCTGTAAGGCAAAGCTCTCTGTTTGCTGCTGTTTGTTGCCATCTCCTGGGTGACATGGTTTGGCTGGGTGACGTAACCCCTAGGTCAAAACCCTCAACTGGCATCCGTGACTTCCTGAAAAGCCAAATCCACCACTAAACACCAGGCCAAGTGGTTTTAGGGCTCTTCTACCCTGTTGCACGAGTGTGTGTGTCCCACATGGCACCCTATTCCCTATATAGTGCACTGCTTTTGACCAGTAGTGCACTATGCACGGAACAGGGTGCCCTTTGGAATGCAGCCACTGTATCCACCCACCAGCCAACCGCCTCTAGCTGCCATGTGCTATGCTACAGTGCCACCACTGCTATGTACCATTCCCTCATCACATTCACAACACATGGGTCCCATTTGATGTTGAGCAGTGCTGAAGTCTGTGCGCTCTCTGCTCTGCTCTGTGCTTTCATGGCAATGACAGCTGCTTTAAATGAGAGAAGGCGTTTTAGTTAACATATGTCTGTGGATTCTTCTCAGTCCCTTTCCCTCCACAGCAGAGAGCCTGTAGTGTTCCTGTCAAACTGTCTCTCCTCTCTGTGTCCGACCAGGCCTGTCGTCACCTATGGTCAAACAACCCTAGCTGTGTGTCTGTGTCACCAACGCTTCAGAGAGGACCCTTACTCCTTTGGAAGACAAGCTGTTTAGACAGCACTGTCTGCATGGTCTGGATCTATACTGCATGGCTGCGTCCCAAATGGCACCCTATTTCCTTTTATAGTGCTCAAAAGTAGTGCATTATATATTTTATACACTGCTCAAAAAAATAAAGGGAACACTAAAATAACACATCCTAGATCTGAATGAATGAAATAATCTTATTAAATACTTTTTTCTTTACATAGTTGAATGTGCTGACAACAAAATCACACAAAAATGATCAATGGAAATCAAATGTATCAACCCATGGAGGTCTGGATTTGGAGTCACCCTCAAAATTAAAGTGGAAAACCACACTACAGGCTGATCCAACTTTGATGTAATGTCCTTAAAACAAGTCAAAATGAGGCTCAGTAGTGTGTGTGGCCTCCACGTGCCTGTATGACCTCCCTACAACGCCTGGGCATGCTCCTGATGAGGTGGCGGATGGTCTCCTGAGGGATCTCCTCCCAGACCTGGACTAAAGCATCCGCCAACTCCTGGACAGTCTGTGGTGCAACGTGGCGTTGGTGGATGGAGCGAGACATGATGTCCCAGATGTGCTCAATTGGATTCAGGTCTGGGGAATGGGCGGGCCAGTCCATAGCATCAATGCCTTCCTCTTGCAGGAACTGCTGACACACTCCAGCCACATGCGGTCTAGCATTGTCTTGCATTAGGAGGAACCCAGGGCCAACCGCACCAGCATATGGTCTCACAAGGGGTCTGAGGATCTCATCTTGGTACCTAATGGCAGTCAGGCTACCTCTGGCGAGCACATGGAGGGCTGTGCAGCCCCCCAAATAAATGCCACCCCACACCATGACTGACCCACCGCCAAACCGGTCATGCTGGAGGATGTTGCAGGCAGCAGAACGTTCTCCACGGCGTCTCCAATCTGTCACGTCTGTCACATGTGCTCAGTGTGAACCTGTTTGAGCAGACACATGCACATTTGTGGCCTGCTGGAGGTCATTTTGCAGGGCTCTGGCAGTGCTCCTCCTGCTCCTCCTTGCACAAAGGCGGAGGTAGCAGTCCTGCTGCTGGGTTGTTGCCCTCCTACGGCCTCCTCCACGTCTCCTGATGTACTGGCCTGTCTCCTGGTAGCGCCTCCATGCTCTGGACACTACGCTGACAGACACATCAACCTTCTTGCCACAGCTCGCATTGATGTGCCATCCTGGATGAGCTGCACTACCTGAGCCACTTGTGTGGGTTGTTGACTCCGTCTCATGCGACCACTAGAGTGAAAGCACCTCCAGCATTCAAAAGTGACCAAAACATCAGCCAGGAAGCATAGGAACTGAGAAGTGGTCTGTGGTCACCACCTGCAAAACCAGTCCTTTATTGGGGGGTGTCTTGCTAATTGCCTATAATTTCCACCTGTTGTCTATTCCATTTGCACAACAGCATGTGAAATGTATTGTCAATCAGTGTTGCTTCCTAAGTGGACAGTTTGATTTCACAGAAGTGTGATTGACTTGGAGTTACATTGTGTTGTTTAAGTGTTCCCTTTATTTTTTTGAGCAGTGTATTATTTAACTATTATTTTGACAGGGAGTCAATGCTGAGACCAAGGTCTATTTTCCTGATGAGCCCTGTATAGCACCACAATATACATAAAAATACAATAAACACATTAAACTACACATTACAATACACAACAAAAAATAGCAAAACACAATAATAAAAAATAGTCTGAAATGCCCTAGAGGCACCAATTCTTCCAATTCTAAAGTGTATTGTAGATCATTTCACATGTAAGGTGCAAAAAAACTAAAATCAGATCTACCCAACTCAGTAGAGATGGAAGTGATCTCCAGAGTTATCCATCCCTGAGCCCGGGTCCGGTAGCCCGTACATCTATAGGTTAATAATGAGGTAAGGTACGGCGGAAGTTTATGCAAGAGGGCTTTATAGACAAAAAGAGCGCAATGCATCGATCTACAAGACTTCAAGGAGGGCCAGCCCACATTCTGATACAAAATGCAATGATGTGTACTGAACCCATCACCCATAATTAAGCGCAATGCGCTATGATAAACTGTGTCCAATGACTTCAATACAATGGCAGCTGCATTCATATAAACGTATATAGGGAATAGGGTGCCATTTGGGACCATATATGAATGCTGTACACCTCATTCTATACCATTGTCATGCATATTATGCTCATAAGCTACTACATATGCAACAATATACGCTACATTCTAACCCAAAACTCTACACACATCACAGAGCTTATTCTCTCTTTGTTTACGTCAAATATTGAACCCATGACTATCCAGGGTATTTTCCACTGAAGTCCTATAGGGAATAGGGTGCCATTTGGGATGCAACCATAGTCATTTCTCTCCATTGGGAAGGGCTGTGGGATCTATGCTAGTATGCAGGTCTGACATGCAATGATAATTCAGTAAGGCTGAAACAGTGCCTATAGAGCCGTTACCTCTCTTCCCCCCTCGCAGAGATCATGTTTACCAATGAGTCCATCAGCAGCCCGATTCTCCCTGCCGTCTCCCTGTCCCTGTATTCCTATCAATCTCTCTCCCTCCACTTCTCTCCTTCACCCGTTCCTGTCTGTCTGTTTTAGCACTTCTCTCTACTTTTTCTCCTCCTTCAGCCCCTCTATCTCCAACTCTTTCCATCTTTTCTGTCTCTTTTCCTCCCTAGTCGTCACATAGCTCCTTACCACTGACTGTTTGTAATAGTGTGTGAGATTCGTATACATGTTTATGACTCTTCTGTGTGTACTGTGTAGGTGACGTCAGACTGGTCACTGCAGCAGGGCACGGGCTGTACTGACGGGCACACGGGCACCTCGGCGGCAGCGCCCCTGGCGGCTGGCATGGTGGCGCTGATGCTGCAGGTCCGGCCCTGTCTCACCTGGAGAGACGTGCAGCACATCATCACCTACACAGCCACACAGGTACAATGTGCCATTCAGAGGGTGAATGCCTTTGAATGTGGAATGGTACTAGGTGCCAGGCGCACCGGTTTGTGTCAAGAACTGCAACGCTGCTGGGTTTTTCACGCTCAACAGTTTCCTGTGTGTCTCAAGAATGGTCCACCACCCAAAGGACACCCAGCCAACTTCACACAACTGTGGAGTCAACATGGGCCGGCATCCATATGGAACGCTTTTGACACCTTGTAGAGTCCATGCTCCGACGAATTGAGGCTGTTCTGAGGGAAAAGGGGGGATGCAACTCAATATTAGGAAGGTGTTCCTAATGTTTGGTAGACTGAGTGTATGTTTATTAAAGTAGTAAAAAGTGAAGTATTTGGTCCCATTCATAGTATGCAATGACTACATCAAGCTTGTGACTCTACACATTTGTTGGATGCTTTTGCTGTTTGTTTTGATTGTGTTTCAGATTATTTTGTGCCCAATAGAAATGAATGGTAAATAATGTATTGTGTCATTTTATTGTAAATAAGAATATAATATGTTTCTAAACACTTCTACATTAATTTGGATGCTACCCTGATTACGGATAATTCTGAATGAATCGTGAATAATGATGAGTGAGAAAGTTAGAGGCACAAATATCATACCACCTAGACATGCTAACCTCTCACCATTACAATAACGGGAGGTTAGCAATTTTGGGAGGGGTATGATATTTGTCCCAATACTTTTGGTCCCCTAAAATGGAAGGACTAAGGACAAAAAGTGCTGTAATTTCTAAACGGTTCACCCGATACGGATGAAAATACCCTCAAATTCAAGCTGACAGTCTGCACTTTAACCTCATAGTCATTGTATCATTTCAAATCCAAAGTGATGGAGTACAAAGAAAGAAATGTATGACTCACCTTTATGTACTGTGTCATTAATCACTGCTACACAGGCACATACAGTTCCTAATTGAGTGTGTGTGTGTGTGTGTTTCTGTAGTATGATGTGCAAGGGGACTGGAAAATCAATGGCGCTGGCTTCCACCACAGTCACCAGCACGGCTTCGGCCTGCTCAACGCCTGGAGGCTGGTCAACGCTGCCAAGGTACCACTCCACCTCACCCACTCCCTTCCTAATGTCTCAGCAGCACACTAATGTCAAGCTTAACCAACTACACTACTGATACAGTAAGGAGTGGTAGGGATTTTCTTTCAGCTAAGTCAATATTCTGCTCATTTAAAAAAGACTGAAGGTATACATGTGGAAAGTCTGTTTTTTTTTTTTTTTTTTTTTGTGTGTGTATTAATCAGGTGTGGGAGATGGTGCCATTCCTAGTGTCCTATCAGAGCCCAGTGCTGAAGGAGGAGGAGCTTATCCCAGCCTATCCGGAGCAACTCAATCTAACCTGGAACGGTTGGTAGCGTTTGTGTGTGTGTGTGTGTGAGAGAGAGAGAGAATGAGCAAGCAAGCGAGTCTCATAATATGCAAGTCTGAATATTTGCTGTTTCTCTTCTCTCTGTTAGTGCTCTCCAGAGAGAACCTCCCAACAGGCAATCAGCAGTCTGCCCTTATTAGGCAATGTTCTTCAGAGTCTCTCTGTCACTGGGCACACTGACTAAACTATGGAGGAGAGAACACATCCCTACGTTCCCTCCCCTCCCCTCCCTTACCCTACCCTCTCTCTTTATCTGTATTTCTCTCTCTTCCTCTCTCCCTCTCTTACACACACACACAGTGACCTCATCACAGCAGAGATATCTGTATTCCTCCCTCTGTTCTTCTCTCTTTTCTGGCCTCCCTATCGCCTCCTGGCCCAGCGTATGCAGCCTGTGTGTTGCCTGTTCTGTGGTCAGGAGCAGAGCCAGAAGCAGTGTGTTTCCCTGCTGCAGCACAGCCCTTTGTGTGTGTCCAGTTTCACGTGACTAGGGTTTCTAAGGACAAAGCAGTGGAAGAGTTGCTGACAAAGGCTAAATGTTTTAGTTCCAAGTGAAACATGTGTTTTGAATTAATGAAATTCGAGATGTAAATCGACTTTGTATTTATACATGGAAATTCTATTTCCATTCATTGAAAAGTAAGCTAGTTTTGTTTATTCCCAACGATACATGAAGCAGGTTGTTGTGTTTAACTACTCAATCGCTAGGCTATTTGTTGACCTTGTTGCTATGTGTTTTGGCCGGTCCGTTAGCTTAAGGTCCAGCGGTTAGTATGAGCACTATTTCCTTCCCATGTGAAAAGGGAAGACGAGAGTTCCGATGTTCAGTCCCAAACGTTAGATTCCCAAAAGATAGGGGTGTGTTATTATTGAAAAGAAAAACAGTTGTTAAAAGTGCAAAAAGTTTAAAAATGTCTAAGATGTTTGAGCTAAATGTCAGGAGAGGAATGTATGGGGTGCACGCCAGGCCAAACTGTGGCTCCCAAATGGCACTCTTTTCTTATAGTGCACTACTTTTTACCTGGGCTCCTCTGATCCAAAGTAATGCAAATATGTAGGGAAACGGGTGCCATTTGGGATGCAGACAAATCACTGGCTTATTTATCTTCCCTTGTTCCTTGTGTGTGTCTCAGAGGGAGAGAATAATATTCACAGAGCATAGCCAGAGCCTTTGGCATGATATTTACCATCCATTTACTGCCATTGTATTGATTTAGCTTTATTGAGATGATTATGCAGACCTAGATATTGGTGAAAAAGATTGTATCATTTCAGAGCTGGAGCATTTGTGTTGCAACAAGTTTGTGCTTGATTTAATACCAAACTTTTATGAGAAGGCAGTAACACACTCTTAAGACCCACAAGTCGTGATGTTTTTTTATTTTATTTTATTTCACCTTTATTTAACCAGGTAAGCCAGTTGAGAACAAGTTCTCATTTACAACTGCGACCTGGCCAAGATAAAGCAAAGCAGTGCGATTAAAAACAACAACACAGAGTTGCATGTGGATGAAGAGTGAGATTCTCATCAAAGGTCACTGTCTGTGTGGGAGGGTCTCTGAGGAACTCTTACGAGTCCTGTACGTTTGGAAGAAGATGGCTGGACTCCAAGAAGTCCCCCCCCCCCCCCCCCCCCCAATCCTACTCTACCCCTCTTTCTGCCCTCCTTCACCACCAGTCTCTCTCCCTCCACACCTTTGTATGTCCCTCTCTCTTCCTCTACTTCCTTGGCCTGGGGAAGGGTTTTTCCCTACATGGTAATGGAGCATTAAGGCCCATTAGCAAACAGGGGGCGAGGAAATGCCAGTGAATTAGAGTACGCTGCAGGTCAGGAATCCAGAGAGAAAGGGAAGAGGGTGACTCCGCTGTGAGGGACTACAAGTCTGTCTGCTCTTTGTGCATATTCTATGACTGAGACATATTGTATTCCTCTGGGGTGGGTGGGTGCACGTTTTACTACACTTGTGAGTACCAGAAGTCCTCACAATAATTAGCTGTAGAATATCAGCAAGAGAGCCATTGCACAGTGGATGGTGTAGTGAAACTGTTGAAGGCTTCGGGGGGGGGGGGGGGGGGGGGGGGTCTGGGAATGTCTGAGGCGTGTCTGGAACAGATGCATATACAAAATACAGTTTCATACTAAATGGAATGTCTTTATATGGCCTTTAATTAAGATTGGACCTATGGGCTACCAGAGTAAAGGTCAATCAATTGTGTCCATAGCCGACCCTTCACTGTTATATGTAGTTTTCATTGGCTCATCTGCTCTCCTCCTCACTCTGCCATTCCTATAGAAGGACATACAGTGGGGAAAAAATGTATTTAGTCAGCCACCAATTGTGCAAGTTCTCCCACTTAAAAAGATGAGGCCTGTAATTTTCATCATAGGTACATGTCAACTATGACAGACAAAATGAGAAACAAAATCACATTGTAGAATTTTTAATGAATTTATTTGCAAATTATGGTGGAAAATAAGTATTTGGTCAATAACAAAAGTTTCTCAATACTTTGTTATATACCCTTTGTTGGCAATGACACAGGTCAAACGTTTTCTGTAAGTCTTCACAAGGTTTTCACACACTGTTGCTGGTAATTTGGCCCATTCCTCCATGCAGATCTCCTCTAGAGCAGTGATGTTTTGGGGCTGTCGCTGGGCAACACGGACTTTCAACTCCCTCCAAAGATTTTCTATGGGGTTGAGATCTGGAGACTGGCTAGGCCACTCCAGGACCTTGAAATGCTTCTTATGAAGCCACTCCTTCGTTGCCCGGGCGGTGTGTTTGGGATCATTGTCATGCTGAAAGACCCAGCCACGTTTCATCTTCAATGCCCTTGCTGATGGAAGGAGGTTTTCACTCAAATCTCACGATACATGGCCCCATTCATTCTTTCCTTTACACGGATCAGTCGTCCTGGTCCCTTTGCAGAAAAACAGCCCCAAAGCATGATGTTTCCACCCTCATGCGTCAGACCACTGTGGCGCAGTGGTCTAAGGCACTGCATTGCAGTGCTAACTGTGCCACTAGAGATCCTGGTTCGAATCCAGGCTCTGTCGCAGCCGGCCGCGACCGGGAGACTCATGGGCGGCGCACAATTGGCCCAGCGTCGTCCAGGGTAGGGGAGGGAATGGCCGGCAGGGATGTAGCTCAGTTGATAGAGCTGGCGTTTGCAACGCCAGGATTGTGGGTTCGATTCCCACGGGGTGACAGTATAAAAAAATATGTATTCACTAATTGTAAGTCGCTCTGGATAAGAGCGTCTGCTAAATGACTAAAAATGTTAAAAAAAAAAAAAATGTGTTCTTTAATTGCAACTCAGCATTCTTTGTCCTCCAAACACGACGAGTTGAGTTTTTACCAAAAAGTTCTATTTTGGTTTCATCTGACCATATGACATTCTCCCAATCCTCTTCTGGATCATCCAAATGCACGCTAGCAAACTTCAGACGGGCCTGGACATGTACTGGCTTAAGCAGGGGGACACGTCTTGCACTGCAGGATTTGAGTCCTTGGCGGCGTAGTGTGTTACTGATGGTAGGCTTTGTTACTTTGGTCCCAGCTCTCTGCAGGTCATTCACTAGGTCCCTCCGGTGGTTCTGGGATTTTTGCTCACCGTTCTTGTGATCATTTTGACCCCACGGGGTGAGATCTTGCGTGGAGCCCCAGATCGAGGGAGATTATCAGTGGTCTTGTATGTCTTCCATTTCCTAATAATTGCTCCCACAGTTGACTTCTTGAAACCAAGCTGCTTACCTATTGCAGATTCAGTCTTCCCAGCCTGGTGCAGGTCTACAATTTTGTTTCTGGTGTCCTTTGACAGCTCTTTGGTCTTGGCCATAGTGGAGTTTGGAGTGTGACTGTTTGAGGTTGTGGACAGGTGTCTTTTATACTGATAACAAGTTCAAACAGGTGCCATTAATACAGGTAACGAGTGGAGGACAGAGGAGCCTCTTAAAGAAGAAGTTACAGGTCTGTGAGAGCCAGAAATCTTGCTTGTTTGTAGGTGACCAAATACTTATTTTCCACCATAATTTGCAAATAAATTCATAAAAAATCCTACAATGTGATTTTCTGGGAAAAAAATTCTCAATTTGTCTGTCATAGTTGACGTGTACCTATGATGAAAATTACAGGCCTCTCTCATCTTTTTAAGTGGGAGAACTTGCACAATTGGTGGCTGACTAAATACTTTTTTCCCCCACTGTATAGTAATTTATTAGGATATCTGTGCTCCTCTCACCCCAGTGACTGCAGCTGACCTCAGGCAGTCCGGAATGCAGACCTTGGAGCATGTGTCTGTCACTTTGACACTGGCCCATACTCGCCGCGGCAATGTGGAGATCATGCTGCTCTGCCCCAGTGGCATGACCTCACTCATCGGGGCGCGCCGTACTCTGGATACGTGAGTTTGCGCATGCACACACATAAAAGTTTATTGGTCGCGTACACATATTTGCGTATGTTATCGCAGGTGCAGCGAAATGCTTGTTTCTAGCTCCAACAGTGCAGTAATAACAGATACAGTTGAAGTCGGAAGGTTACATACACCTTAGCCAAATACATTTAAACTCAGTTTTTCACAATTCCTAACATTTAATCCTAGTAAAAATTCCCTGCCTTAGGTCAGTTAGGATCACTACTTTATTTTAAGAATGTGAAATGTCAGAATAATAGTAGAGAGAATTATTTATTTAAGCTTGTATTTCTTTAATCACATTCCCAGTGGGTCAGAAGTTTGCATACTCTCAATTAGTATTTGGTAGCATTTCCTTTAAATTGTTTACCTTGGGTCAAACGTTTCGGGTAGCCTTCCACACGCTTCCCACAATAAATTGGGTGAATTTTGGCCCATTCCTCCTGACAGAGCTGGTGTAACAGAGTCAGGTTTGTAGGCCTCCTTGCTCGCACACGCCTTTTCAGTTCTGCCCACAAATGTTCTATACGATGAGGTCAGGGCTTTGTGATGGCCACTCCAATACCTTGACTTTGTTGTCCTTAAGCCATTTTGCTACAACTTTGGAAGTATGCTTGGGGTCATTGTCCATTTTGAAGACCCATTTGCGACCAAGCTTTAACTTCCTGACTGATGTCTTGAGATGTTGCTTCAATATATCCACATAATTTTCCTTCCTCATGATGCCATCTATTTTGTGAAGTGCACCAGTCCCTCCTGCAGCAAAGCACCCCCACAGCATGATGCTGCCACCCCCGTGCTTCACGGTTGGGATGGTGTTCTTCGGCTTGAAAGTTCCCCCTTTTTCCTCCAAACATAACGATGGTCATTATGGCCAAACAGTTCTATTTTTGTTTCATCAGACCAGAGGACATTTCTCCAAAAAGTACGATCTTTGGCCCCATGTGCAGTTGCAGACCATAGTCTGGCTTTTTTATGGTTGTTTTGGAGCAGTGGCTTCTTCCTTGCTGAGCGGCTTTTCAGGTTATGTCGATATAGGACTCGTTTTACTGTGGATATAGATACTTTTGTACCCGTTTCCTCCAGCACCTTCACAAGGTCCTTTCTTGTTGTTCTGGGATTGATTTGCACTTTTCGCACCAAAGTACGTTCAACTCTAGGAGACAGAACGCGTCTCCTTCCTGAGCGGTATGAGGCTGCGTGGTCCCATGGTGTTTATACTTGCGTACTATTGTTTGTACAGATGAACGTGGTACCTTCAGGCGCTTGGAAATTGCTCCCAAGGATGAACCAGACTTGTAGAGGTCTACAATTGTTTTTCTGAGGTCTTGGCTGATTTCTTTTGATTTTCCCATGATGTCAAGCAAAGAGGCACTGAATTTGAAGGTAGGCCTTGAAATACATCCACAGGTACACCTCCAATTGACTCAAATGATGTCAATTAGCCTATCAGAAGCTTCTAAAGCCATGACATCATTTTCTGGAATCTTCCAAGCTGTTTAAAGGCACAGTCAACTTAGTGTATGTACATTTCTGACCCACTGGAATTGTGATACAGTGAATTGTAAATGAAATAATCTGTCTGTTGGAAAAATTACTTGTATCATGCACAAAGTAGATGTCCTAACCGACTTGCCAAAACTATAGTTTGTTAACAAGAAATGTGTGGTGTGGTTGAAAAACAAGTTTTAATGACTCCAACCTACAGTGAGGGAAAAAAGTATTTGATCCCCTGCTGATTTTGTAAGTTTGCCCACTGACAAAGAAATGATCAGTCTATAATTTTAATGGTAGGTTTATTTGAACAGTGAGAGACAGAATAACAACAACAAAATCCAGAAAAACGCATGTCAAAAACGTTAGAAATTGATTTGCATTTTATTGAGGGAAATAAGTATTTGACCCCCTCTCAATCAGAAAGATTTCTGGCTCCCAGGTGTCTTTTATACAGGTAACGAGCTGAGATTAGGAGCACACTCTTAAAGGGAGTGCTCCTAATCTCAGTTTGTTACCTGTATAAAATACACCTGTCCACAGAAGCAATCAATCAATCAGATTCCAAACTCTCCACCATGGCCAAGACTAAAGAGCTCTCCAAGGATGTCAGGGACAAGATTGTAGACCTACACAAGGCTGGAATGGGCTACAAGACCATCGCCAAGCAGCTTGGTGAGAAGGTGACAACAGTTGGTGCGATTATTCGCAAATGGAAGAAACACAAAAGAACTGTCAATCTCCCTCGGCCTGGGGCTCCATGCAAGATCCCATCAGAGGAGAACTGGGTGAAAGTGTTGTGGTCAGATGAGACCAAAATTGATCTCTTTGGCATCAACTCAACTCGCCGTGTTTGGAGGAGGAGGAATGCAGCATATGACCCCAAGAACACCATCCCCACCGTCAAACATGGAGGTGGAAACATTATGCTTTGGGGGTGTTTTTCTGCTAAGGGGACAGGACAACTTCACCGCATCAAAGGGACGATGGACGTGGCCATGTACCGTCAAATCTTGGGTGAGAACCTCCTTCCCTCAGCCAGGGCATTGAAAATGGGTCGTGGATGGGTATTCCAGCATGACAATGACCCAAAACACACAGCCAAGGCAACAAAGGAGTGGCTCAAGAAGAAGCACATTAAGGTCCAGGAGTGGCCTAGCCAGTCTCCAGACCTTAATCCCATAGAAAATCTGCGGAGGGAGCTGAAGGTTCGAGTTGCCAAACGTCAGGCTCGAAACCTTAATGGCTTGGAGAAGATCTGCAAAGAGGAGTGGGACAAAATCCCTCCTGAGATGTGTGCAAACCTGGTGGCCAACTACAAGAAACGTCTGACCTCTGTGATTGCCAACAAGGGTTTTGCCACCAAGTACTAAGTAATGTTTTGCAGAGGGGTCAAATACTTATTTCCCTCATTAAAATGCAAATACATTTATAACATTTTTTACATGCGTTTTTCTGTATTTTTTTTTTGTTATTCTGTCTCTCACTGTTCAAATAAACCTACCATTAAAATTATAGACTGATCATGTCTTTGTCAGTGGGCAAACGTACAAAATCAGCAGGGGATCAAATACTTTTTTCCCTCACTGTAAGTGTATGTAAACTTCAACAGTATGTACACACACAGATTTATACACTGGTTTTAGTTTTACATTTCTTCACTTACTCTTAATTGTTTGGGGCATAATGTATAACACTCACCCCCATTTATTAGCATCCTTGCCTCTGTCCTGTTGTGTGTCACTCCAGGGATACCTCGGGTTACTCAGATTGGACGTTTTCCACTGTGCGCTGCTGGGGAGAGAGAGCCGAGGGCCAGTACAGGCTGCAAGTCTCTGACCACAGTAAGGGTCAGTCTCTCTCTGTCTGTCATTCACCTGCGTTCCACTGACTACTACATGACCACAGCTACACTATAAGCTCTCTCCTGCTCATTCAGTCTTCATCTCTTTCTCCCCCCCCCTATCTCTCTGTCTCTGTTCCCTCTCTGTCTCTGTTCCCTCTGTCTCTGTTCCCTCTCTGTCCCTCTCTCTGTCTCTGTTCCCTCTCTGTCCCTCTCTCTCTGTCTCTTTCTTTCTTTCTTTTAGAAGAGCCTGCGTTGCCGCTGGGCTCTCTGAAGCACTGGAAGCTCACTCTGTACGGCTCCTCTCTGTCCTTCGAAGAGGTCAAGGAGAGACAGAGGTCAGGAGACACACATCACTGTTAAAAGAGCAGCCTGGGTTATATAAATAGAAAATATGTGTAAAAGTAAAAAATATATTATGTGTTTCTGGATCCTCTATTTTTAAAGGAAAGTGATGTTTTGTCATTGGCGTTCCCTTAGTGGATGTGAGCATTGATTGTTTGTGTGTTTTGATTGACAGTGTGGTGGAGGAGGCTATGGGAGGGCAGTATCTGGACAGCAGTTTCTCCCTGCCCTGTCCTGCAGGCATGGACATCCCCCCTGAGATGGTCAGCCCGTTCACCTCCAACAGCCTCAAGGTATGTTACACACACACACACACACACACACACACAATATGCCTCATTTAGTAATTTCCTCCCCTCTCTCATCACCATGTCTCTGTGTAGTCTCTGCTACTGCTGGGCTGCTTCGCTCTCTTCTGGTCCCTGTACTACACCCTGGAGGTGACCCTGGCCAACCTGGACTTTAGGGGGCTGTGTCGGCGTGGCAGGGGGACGCGGGGCTCCCGCGGGGGCCGGGGGAGGGGCACTGGAACTCTGGGGGACAGCTCTGAGCTGGAGATGCAGAGCGTGTTGGACTCAGAGGAGAAGTTGCCCTTCATCACTGGAGACGCTGCCACATAACACTGGAGAAAACCTCTGTCCTCTCACCCTACGACCTCCCACCCGCCTCTCATCAGTCTAGGCCTGGCGCCCCCCTGCGGTGACCCCAGTGGGTCCAACTAAACTGGACTGGAGACTGAACTATGTGGGCTGGAACTGTGAACTTACTGGCCCACCCATCGCTCCCCAAGCCTGTGGCCTTTTATCAGCGTTGCAGCGCCCCATGCGTGTGTGAGTGAAGTGTGAGTAAGTGTACTGCGGTGGAGCAACCTAGACCCTCTGGATCTCTCAGGACCCTCCGCTCTCACCTAGCACTGCTATAGAGGTGGTAGTTTGGCCTGGTCTTTGGGTTGGAGTATGTATCACTAGTTTGGTTCAGTCCCTTACCTGGGTCTTTGAGCGTGGGGTTAGAAGGTGTGCTGGACAACCAAGCAGAGCAGCACTCCTGGGGTGGTTTCCTGGACAACGATTAAGCCTAACCCTGGACTAAAAAGCAAGATAAATTACGAATATCTGTTGGAAATGTTTTTTAGTCCAGGATTAGGCTTAGTCTGGGTCCGAAACCGGCCCTTGAAGTTTAAGTCAAACTTCCTACGTTTATTAGGTGTGCACAATGGGAAGGCATTACAATGCTGTGCGTGTGGATGTGTTTTAAAATGTAAATGGTGTTTGGTTTTGAGGATGTGTGACGGTGTGTGCATGTGTGAGTGATGGAGTGCTCTTAAAATTGTTTTTTGCATTTTAATTTCAGAAAATGTCCATAATACACTGTGTACAAAACATTAAAGACCTTCCTAATATTGAGTTGCCCCCCCCCCCCCCCTTCTGGACAGCCTCAATTCGTCGGGGCATGGACTCTACAAGGTGTCAAAAGCGTTCCACAGGGATAAATGTCCCACGTTGACTCCAGTGACTCCCACAGTTGTCAAGTTGACTGGATGTCCTTTGGGTGGTAGACCAAGTTGCTTTCAGTTTTGGTCCACCAGCTTCAAACAGCTGTAAAAAATATATTATGGACATTTTCTGAAATTACAATGCAATTTATTTATTTTTTTATCCTGTGTATGTAACAATATGTAACTTTTTGGGAAACCTGACCAAATTCACATAGAAATGTGAGATCTTTCATTCCCGTTGAAAGCAAATCTAAGAAGCGGTAGATCTGTTCTATGTGCGCTATTTCTATGCTTCTCGTTCTGAAGTTTAGTTTTTGCTTCTTTTACTTTCTGTTTTGTACACCAGCTTCAAACAGCTGAAAATACAATATTTTTGGTTATGGAAAATATATTTCACAGCGGTTTAGATGGTACAATGATTCTCTACACAATAACTGCTTGTTTTGTCACAAACTGAAATGAAGTAAACTATTCTCATTTTAGCAACCGGGAAACGGCAGAGCGATTTCTGCATAGTGCATCTTTAAGTTAATTATTTTGTAAACAGACCTCCCATTTGGGTGTGGTCATTTTGGGATTTTATTTTGTGCAGACTATATACATTTTTCCGGTACTTGAACTTGATTTGGGATCTGAGTGTGGGGTTGAATGTGTTTTAGTTTTTTTATCAACTGTAATATATACACACGTTACAGTGTGTGTGTGTGTGTTGTACATCTATATATCAGAGTTTGATGATTTTTATTAACTGAAACATTAAAGATTTTATTTTTATTTACTGGACTGAACTGGAAGCCTGTGTTTTGCTGTGCAAGTCACAGCTTGATTGAGTAAAATAAATAAAGATTGTTGATGGAGTTTCGGGCTGTATCATTCCCATAATTTCCCTTGAAATCGAACCACAGGAATTTAGCACAAAGTATTTCAAAATCATTCTTGAGTCCCACTATCGCTGGCGCGTTTTGGACTTTTAACCCCTTTTTAAACATTGTTTGAGCTACAGCAGCTGGGTTGTTGCATTAGTCTAGAGCCAGAGCGTTGTTTGTGAGACCAGGGCAGATCACGAAAATGGTTCTTCTCACAAAAATGTGGGTAAAGTATTATGACCATCTATAAAAAGCTGACACGAGTCGTTAGAAGGTAAGAGGTTCTTCCACATAGAAGAGCCTAGGGAATCCCAGGACATAGTGTCTATAATACTGTAATAAGCTCACAGTTGCTGTCACAAACTCTTAACTCCACACAGTTGTCACTGACTAATTAGATATTCATTTCCCACTGAGCAAACAATTTATAATCATTCTTATAAATTAATTTTAATATCAGGTTTTTGCTCAGTGGACCTTACTGTGTATTGACATTTGTCAATAAAACTCATGAATTGTTATTGTTTTGTTTTCCACTTGTAGCCCTGGTTGTCCTGAATAGACATGGGGAAAACACTTCAATGTGAGGCTAAATATGAGGACAGAGCAAGCAGATGAATGAAAGTTGTGAATTTCAGCTTTTTCAATGTACAAACATATGGGGCTGTTACAGAGGTCATAGGAGTTGGCAGGGATCGGTACATACAGTTTAGCACTGTTAACTTGAAAAACTCATCCAGAACACGTGACACAAAGAACTTCAACCTCATTTCCTTCCTTTTATTTGGTATTTTTAAAACGATCTCTCAAGCAATCTCTCAATGTTTCTACATTTTTATAGAATGTCCTTGTACTAAGAAGGCATAGCTTGGTTGCTTCAGTGCCATCTCTATGATTCAGATATCAGTCTCATGTAAACATGATAATTGCATTTGAGGATGAGTGATTGACAGCTGTAAATGCATGTTGCCCCTTTCAACTTAAGACTCAAATTTCACATATGGTATTTGCAACGTAGATTTGGGTTGTAATATTGGGCTGGACAAGTTTGGTCATAGTGTTGTGTGCTACTAGTGAGACTGTTTCTACTACACTGGGATAAGGTTGAGTTGAGGCATTAAGACTTCATCTGTGGGACCTGTCGTAGCTGCAGTGAGAGGGCGAAGGGGAGAGGAGGGCAGTGCAGGGTGTGGTGGAGAAGGGAGGGGAAAGGGCATGGGTCAGTGGTTTGGTTGTTATTATTGGATCTGTCGGGTGGCCCCGTACGACATGCCAGTCTGGCTGGCCCCTTTGTTGGAGCCCATCTGCAGGCCAATCACACCCTTCCCCGCCTTCATCTGGTCGTCTGTGAACTCCCTCCGGTTCTCCTGGGCTTTCCTGCAAGGGTACGTGGACAATGAACTCAAAAACACACACTGGCACAATACATACCCCACACTGACTGAATACACCAGCAATCCAACACCATCACTCTTCACATTCTTCTAACTCACTTGAAGAACCAGTTGGGGTCACCGCGGTAGTTGCCGTCATCCTTGGTGACAGCAACGCTGCCGAGGGACATCAGTGTCCTCTGGACTGCAGCCAAATCCTTCCCTGTCACCACAAAATCACAGCAGGGCCTTTAAGTCCCCACGCCATAGCTACAGCACACCACACCGTTGTATGTGCCCCCCACTACATCCGCTGTTATTTGTGGTATATGTAATGCCCTGTGTTGTGATTGTTTGATGAGATGCAAGATGGACATGCTTTGCGAACCTTCCCAGAGGTCCACGGTCTGGAACATGTCGGTCTTGATGACACCGTAGCTCTCGGCAGCAGTTAGGAACTGCGAGATCTGCTCCATCTGTTTGAAGGCCATGCTTGAGCTGGCTATCTTCTTGATGGGCTTGTTGTCCTTATGCAGACTGTTAATGAGCTCACTCAGGACCTGGGGAATAAGAACATAAAGCCAAGAGTATGTTGGCAGAAAGTAACCAACTGTACTGTCATATACTCTTGTGGGGTCCCCCAAGGTTCGATACTTGGCCCATTGTTGTTTTTAAATGTACAGGTATATGATCATCATCTGATTTCCAAAGTGTTTGTTTCTCCATTCTCTTTGCTGATGACACATCTTTACTCTGAATAAAGATGGTCCAAATAAATGGCTAATATGAATTCTGAATGCCGTTAAGTTAAAATGTACGTTTCAGTTTGAGGGGTCTTAGGCATTGGGTTGGTACTCACACATCCGTCCTTAAGCCAGTCCTGGAAGCCCAGTTTGCCAGCCTCGGGTTTCCCAACTCCAGATCCACACTGGGCCACAATCCACTGCACCACAAGCTCCTCCACCTCAGTGTCGTACTTCTTGTCAATCTTGTCCTGCACCACCCGGCTCATGCCATAAGATGGACCTTTGTTGGCCATGCCTACCTGAGGTCCCTTTCCCACCGAGAGGGAGAGAAGGATGGAGGGAGAGGGAGTGGAGTAGAACAGATATTAAATATATGGATATGTATGTGAGGAAAGGGTGTTGTTCTGTAATAGGGTTCCCCAACTGGCGGATTTTATTTGGAGCATTTAAAAAATATATATACAGTGGGGAAAAAAAGTATTTAGTCAGCCACCAATTGTGCAAGTTCTCCCACTTAAAAAGATGAGAGAGGCCTGTCATTTTCATCATAGGTACACGTCAACTATGACAGACAAATTGAGAAAAAAAAATCCAGAAAATCACATTGTAGGATTTTTAATGAATTTATTTGCAAATTATGGTGGAAAATAAGTATTTGGTCACCTACAAACAAGCAAGATTTCTGGCTCTCACAGACCTGTAACTTCTTTTTTAAGAGGCTCCTCTGTCCTCCACTCGTTACCTGTATTAATGGCACCTGTTTGAACTTGTTATCAGTATAAAAGACACCTGTCCACAACCTCAAACAGTCACACTCCAAACTCCACTATGGTCAAGACCAAAGAGCTGTCAAAGGACACCAGAAACAAAATTGTAGACCTGCACCAGGCTGGGAAGACTGAATCTGCAATAGGTAAGCAGCTTGGTTTGAAGAAATCAACTGTGGGAGCAATTATTAGGAAATGGAAGACATACAAGACTGATAATCTCCCTCGATCTGGGGCTCCACGCAAGATCTCACCCCGTGGGGTCAAAATGATCACAAGAACGGTGAGCAAAAATCCCAGAACCACACGGGGGGACCTAGTGAATGACCTGCAGAGAGCTGGGACCAAAGTAACAAAGCCTACCATCAGTAACACACTACTCCGCCAGGGACTCAAATCCTGCATTGCCAGACGTGTCCCCCTGCTTAAGTCCAGGCCCGTCTGAAGTTTGCTAGAGTGCATTTGGATGATCCAGAAGAGGATTGGGAGAATGTCATATGGTCAGATGAAACCAAAATATAACTTTTTGGAAAAAACTCAACTCATCGTGTTTGGAGGACAAAGAATGCTGAGTTGCATCCAAAGAACACCATACCTACTGTGAAGCATGGGGGTGGAAACTTCATGCTTTGGGGCTGTTTTTCTGCAAAGGGACCAGGACGACTGATCCGTGTAAAGGAAAGAATGAATGGGGCCATGTATCGTGAGATTTTGAGTGAAAACCTCCTTCCATCAGCAAGGGCATTGAAGATGAAACGTGGCTGGGTCTTTTAGCATGACAATGATCCCAAACACACCTCCCGGGCAACGAAGGAGTGACTTCGTAAGAAGCATTTCAAGGTCCTGGAGTGGCCTAGCCAGTCTCCAGATCTCAACCCCATAGAAAATCTTTGGAGGGAGTTGAAAGTCCGTGTTGCCCAGCGACAGCCCCAAAACATCACTGCTCTAGAGGAGATCTGCATGGAGGAATGGGCCAAAATACCAGCAACAGTGTGTGAAAACCTTGTGAAGACTTACAGAAAACGTTTGACCTGTGTCATTGCCAACAAGGGGTATATAACAAAGTATTGAGAAACTTTTGTTATTGACCAAATACTTATTTTCCACCATAATTTGCAAATAAATTCATAAAAAATCCTACAATGTGATTTTCTGGATTATTTTTTCTCATTTTGTCTGTCATAGTTGACATGTACCTATGATGAAAATTACAGGCCTCTCTCATCTTTTTAAGTGGGAGAACTTGCACAATTGGCGGCTGACTAAATACTTTTTTTCCCCACTGTATATTGTTAGACATAAAAGACTAAAAACACAAGCCAAGTGATTTGAATTTTGGAAAATTGTCCCAAAGTATTCCCACGCATAATAGAGAGATATACAGTATGATATTGTATACTGTCACGACTTCCTCCGAAGCTGCCTCCACTCCTTGTTCGGGCAGGCTTCGGCGTTCGTCGTCACCGGCCTTCTAGCCACTGCCGCTCCATATCTCATCATTCCATTTGTCTTGTCTTGTCAATTACACACACCTGGTTCATATTCCCCTCATTAGTACATATAAGTGTTCCCTCTGCCCCCTTGTCCTTGTGGGTGATTGTTTCATGTGAGATGAGTGTAGCTCGGTGGAGCTACCTGTACTTTGTATTGCCGGGGTATATTTTCCCCGTGTGCCTGTATTTGTTCCAGTGCGCCTGTTTTGCGCACTGGACTGTTGACGCTATTCAGCGTAACTGTGTACTACGGAATAAACTCTGTATTCTGTGATTTACCCTCCTGCGCCTGACTCCTTCAAATCACACTCTCACATATACAAAATGTAAGCAAGGTTTGAAATGATTATGTTTTAGTCAAATATTATATCAATTTCGGCTTCTTGAGGTCAATTTGCAGTTTACAAATTATGTTCCGGCCCCCTGACCATCCGCTTGAGAAAAAATTATCCCGACGCAGAATCTAGTTGATGATCTTTGTTCTATGATGTCTGAGATCATCTTGATCTGGAATTAGACCTCAAAGTATTCCGTGATTCAGATGACATTGTCACATTGACTATGTATAATGTATGACAGTTTCTATATCAGTAGCGCCTGAGGTGACCATGTACATTACCATTTGCATGTCACTTGTGCTATGATCTGCTATCGTAACTAATACAAACTGACTCCTTTTTCCATTGGCCTTTGGCTGAAACAGACATTACCTTAGTTGCAAGTCAAGCCATTTCCAACAGCTCTGTGGATGTATAGGCAGATTCGCATGCGGACACATGCACACATGAAGACATTGGACAAATGGCACATTCACTCACAAACAAATACGCCTGCGAACACTTACACACACACATATAGATGTCATGCATTTATAAAGGCGTGTATTTGAGCCGCTCCCTCCCAAAGATGATTGCATGTCTCCGAATGCACACCAGTTTAGCCCATCTGCATTAATTACAGAACTAAATATCAGGAGCCAAAGTGCTGTACAATGGGAGCCCTAGAATCAGCAGAATTTCTCTTTTTGTATTTCTCTGCCTCTCTCTTAAACACACTAGGTGCCACCAACACCATTGCTTGCAAAACTGTTGCTTTTGGGCCAAGCTGCCAAGTGCAAAGCCCATATCAATGCACTCTTAGCACTCTTGTCACCTTGTTTGCCATCTTGAGGTCAGGATACCACGACGTGCCTGGGGGTTAAAGGTCAAATGTTAAATGTTACCACCTGGAGTTCACTTTCATCCTGATTGGACGTCATGCTGGGTCCTTCCCCAGACTGCTGTTGGATGGGGTAGCCAATGGCAATAGTAAAAGTAAGATCTGGCCACTTCATGTATGTCTCATAAGGAGACAGTTCCCTTATCTACACAGAAGGGTTATTCGGCTGTCCCCATAGGAGAACCCTTTTGGGTTCCATGTAGAACTCTCTGTGGAAAACGTTCTACATTGAACCCGAAAGGTTTTTACCTGCAACCGAAAAGGGTTCTTCAAAGGGTTCTCCTATTGATACAGCCGAAGAACCCCTTTAGATTCTAGATAGCACCTTTTTTTCCAAGTGTGTATTTGCACAGTTGGAGATGATGCCGAAACAGATCTCTTTCTCCACCGAACTACTCACACTCCACCACAAGGTCAGCGTGGACCCTTCCATGCCTACTATTTGAATGATAACCTGTAGCAAGCTCAAAAAACCTTACTAGCAGCAACACAAGCAACAAAAGGAAGACAATATTTATTCTTCAATCTTTATGCTTATTCATTCTTGTTTTCCTACAAAAAGATTCATTTGAAACTCAGCTCCCGTTTTTTCTCCAAGAGTTCCTGAATCCACGTTATGTGCCTCCATTTCCTCATTCCCATATTGACTCATCAGTTTAAGTCAGGCAACACTTAACAGAAAATGTATCGATCAGCTGCCATTAACCTAGTTTTCTGAGCCAGCAGTCATGTGTTGAACATTGGCATTAAGAGCATGTATCTGTTTCACCACATTGTGTTGGATTGGTAGCCATCAACACACAGCCCTGGACTGTCTGGCACTTGGCCCAGTCACACATGACTGCTGCTCCATCATCCAAAGAAGTAGACTAAGGCATAGGCCTTCTAGACACTATTTGCCAACAATCCAGTCACATGATTATGAAGCCTTCAAAATACAGAAACTTGAGAGGAGTTTTTTTCAGTGTTTTCAAGCTGCTGGGTTGTTTCATGGTACCTTATTGCCAGACTGCTGTAGTACACAGGAGATCAAATGAACTCTTAACCATGAAGACAAGAAAAGTGTCTAATATATCCCTCCTCCTCCTCCTCCTCCTCCTCCTCAGACCACAATAAGCTACCAACCTCACCCTTACACACACTCAGTCAAACCCTCGCACAGTGCATCATTATAGAAACATTACAGAGGAATGTGAGGAATGTCGGGCTGGTAGCTCTGTCATTACCTTTTTGCCCCAGTTGGTCTAGACCTATGCTTCATAAACAAGCATTTTGACCATCAGAAATTAGGCTGATGTTCTTCCAATGTGGAAAGCACCATTCTTCTGTGTGCCACTGCCAGTACAGGTCACTGCCTTCCACAGAGGGGATATGGATGGCCTGAGAGGTCAGTTCATATGGGACGGGACCCTGGTTCCATTATGGTATTTATGTGTGCTAAGGGACCTACTGTACTGTTGGGTTTGGCATCAGGCCCTGTCTCTGATATCTCCAGATCAGTATGTCAGGCTGGCCTGTGGGTTGGCGTCAGTCTGGGTTGTGTGTGTGTGTGTGTGTGTGTGTGTGTGTTAATTACGTAGCTATGTTTCTATTTTGACCTGATTATAGTGAGTTCTACATTTGGTAGGATATGTGGACTATGTGTTTGGAGTATTGTCATTCGGTCTCTGAACTACATGTTGCTTTTCAACTACTGGTACTACAGTATGAAACAGTGTCCACTTATCCTAATGGAAATATGACATCACCATCCATCTCTCCTTTCATGTCTGTTTTACTTCTGTGTTTCTGTCTTGCCATGGTAACACAGCTGGC